ATATTGGAAACTGAATCCGTTCGTGGTGGCCACCACCACATCAAAGCTTCGAAGCGCGAAGGAAGGGGGAACAACAAGAAACGAAGACGCCGATAACGAAACCAACGTCTTTTTGGGCCCGGGTGGAACATCTTTTCTTCTTTTGCAATTTCAACACGGCCCTGGTTGCACCTGGAACTCTCGACCTCGTCATGGAATCGCTGACACATTCCAGAACCCACCACACTGGGCGCGATTGTTCCTGCTACCGCGACGCGTGAACGCTTCTGTGCTAGTGCGACTGACAGCGCCGCTGCGACCAGGAATCTTGAGAATATGGCCTTCGCTGCAACCGAAGAAAATCGCAACACCACCGCTGTTGCGACCAAAACGGCCAGAAGCATCAGTCCACATGTGCGCTTAAGATCATGACCGCCGTCGCTATGTTCGCCATGCTTTTCATAACTGACTTCTTTTGCTGTCCACTCGTTCGCCGCAACAAGTGGCTCAACCTACCAACGCAAATGCACCAATTGCTTGTTGGAACATTCGCAATGTCAACTGATAATTTACGCAATTTGCGTCGGCATGACAACTAGGAACACCAATGCACACGAATCATATTCAGGCATGCGCAGATCGCGAGACCGACAACCAGAAACTGAATTCTCTTACGGAAAAGCGTGTCAACTGATGATCTGGCGTCGATCGAAATATCGTTTTTACCCATTTACTGATCTGAAGCTGTTGGTCGGTCGCGTCGGCACTCTGGAAACAAAGCTACACGAACAACAGCACGCGGCCAACCGCGATAAGACGACATGAGCATCGGCAATACTTTGAGAGCGAGCGCATCAAGTACTACATGGCGCAACGATGAATGCCCCATTTGCTGGAAACTGAGGCGACTGGGGATGCAACGTGCGCTTGTGAACGGCATGCGCTAAACGCACTTTTCGGTGCAATAAGTGTAAAACGTACGCGTGATTCACACCCAGCGGCCGTTTGAGCTTCAATCCGTAATTAACGCGGGCAAAATCAGGTGGCAGCTGATGGCGGCGCAATGGTGTTATGAGACAACCTCTCATGTATTTCATGATGTGAAAGAAACACATGGTTTCTGGGCATTGTTGAATCTGCATTACTTGCGTCGCTTCTTTGATTTGAACAGAAGTTGATCGTAGCGTTTGGCTCTATGCCGGAAGATTTAAGCTCTGCGGGGTGAAAGACGAACACATGGGGGATTGGGGGGAGGGCAGCGGGAACCCCGTGTTTTTGGGTGGGGCGGGCGTGGGCAGCGGGCTCCCCGTGCTGTCCATAGAGACGACCCTGAAACCCCGACTAGCCTCCCTTTTAGAGTCGGGAGGGAATGTGGCGGGAGTAGACTTGCATCTGTCAACAAATCAAAGCTGACCACATGAAATGGCAAATGGAATAATTTACATAGGCTGGTTTTCCTCGGCGCGAGCGGTTTAGAATGAACGAAGTGATGTTGCTAGCGTGGCGAAAGACGGAAAAAACAAATCACCGATTCAACTTGCTCGGGCGCTTTACTGATTGGGGAAATTTCTTCGTTTTCGGCATGAAGCACCGTTTCCGCGCTTCTCTCTGCGGTAGCGAGCAGCGCTCAAGATTTTGGACATTCGCCCCTCGGAGTTGCAAAGAAGCAGAACTAATTCGTGCCGCCGCTGCTGCGGACTCAGCCGGCCACTGTCGACGCCGCCAGGTCTTCGCATGTGCTGCCCGATCTGCCGGGCTTCCTCGGAATGGAACAAGACGTCTTCGCGACGTCTTTTTCTGTGGGCCGAGCGCCGCTTCCCGGGGCAACGCCCCGGCGGCGCCTCCTTTCGCGCGTCCGCCCGCCCGCCGCATCGCGCGTCCATCCGCGGCGCGCCGGGCAGACGGCCGACTTCCACCATTCCGCGTGCAGCGCGGGCGCGGCCGCAAGAAACCCTCGCAGGAAACCCAGCCCTGAAAACCCGTGCGCGAAGTGCGCCCGAGGGGGGACCCAGAGCAACCCTGAACGCAGCAGCCCTTGCAACGGCTACGGGAGGCCACCGCGTAGCGCGAGGAGCGAAGAAACCCGGGATACTCTGACGAAAAGCAGATGGTCTCTTGATGCGCGCCCCCACTGCGTGCCATTCGCGTGGCCAAGCAGAATGCGATCGGAGGCGCTGAAAGGCCTCGGCGCGTCGATTTTGTCTTGCGCGCCGACTCCGCGCCGATGGCCGGAACGACCTCGACTGCTCGGCCCCGTGGCCCGCGCAGGTCGCGGAGGGCCCGCGGCGTCCAGAGACCCCTCCCTGCGCTCGTGGCGTGCAGTGCTCGCGGTCGGGCCGCGCGCGGACTGGCTGCGCGCCGCTGCAGGCGGTGCCTTTTGCCGCGTAGCTGGACTGCACCCGCGGCCGCGGAGACGCGCGGCGCCCCTCTCCTAGGCGTGCGACGGGCGCCTCTTTGGGCGAGCCTCCTCGCCTGAAGATGGGCGCCCCGCGCGCCGCGTCTCTCTCCTCGCCGTCTCCGTCGCCGGCATATATTCAACGCCCCGGCTCGCCGCGGGCGTCAACTTCGCCCGCGGGTCTCGCTGCGAGAAAGAACCACTCCCTCGGGGTCGCTGGCAAGCCTCCTCGCGGCGGCGTTGAACTTCCCACGTCGAAGGCCTGTGAATCATTTTGCCCCTCCGCGGGCGCTCCGCGCGCCGTGGTTGAGCTAGTGCTGCGAGCCCCAACGCACCTCGTGAACTGAAAGATATGTCGGATGCCAATTTGGATGCGATGCGCCCCTTGCCTTGCGCCGGTGACGTCGGGGTGAATGATTGGTCTCCGCTGCTTGACGTTTTCGTCCTGGCCCATCGCGGCGCCGCCGCGGCGCCCCCTGTCTCGGTCCTGGAACGCCCCGCGGCCATTTGCGCGAGTGCGTTTGCTTGGCCCGCGAGATCCACGCGCTCCTCTGCCATCGCCCCACGCGATCCTCCACGCTTGTCCTCGCTCGTGGAAACTGCCCGCGAGAGTTGCGGCCGGCCCGTCTCAGGTCCGAAACTGCCGGTGGAAGCTCGTGGGTTGGAGGCGCGCGCCCGCGGAAGCGCGGGCAGAGAGAGCGCCCGCGGGGCGCGACGAAGGCGTGCGCCTGGTTTTTGAGGCGCCCGAGGCAGCGGCGGCCTCCGCCGCGGCCCACGCGCGAGCCGGCGGTGCGCGGATGGCCCGTGGATTTCCCAGGGGCAGGCTGGAACGCGCCGTGCGCTCCTGCTCTCCAGTTGCCATGGAGTGTTCGGCGGGTAGGGGGCCACGCGCGAACCCTACCCGTGCCCCCCCACGATTTCTGAGGGGGAGGGTGGGGGTAGGGTTCGCACGTGGCCCCCTAGCGAGGGTCGCCCGTTCCATGACAGCCACGTCGACGCCCGTGGGGCGCGGCGCCGAACTTTGATGGCAGGCGCACTCGCAGGCCCCAGAGCGCCGGGATGATCGTTGTCCACTAACCCCCTGGGCACCAATCGCAATCGGATTGCCCGATTCATTTGTCCACTGGCTCCCCTTGCATACTTTCATGTGTAGACGTACCGTGATGCCATGATGGTGTAAGCCTTAGAAATATCCTGAATCATGAAACATTGTTGCGTCACCAGATTCAGTTCGTTGTGCATGGCTGCTGGGCGTTTGCTTGAACCATCCGCGATGCTTCTCTGGGGTAGAAGACCGCCCTCCTTGGCTGCCGTAGCTGTTCTGGCAGCCGCAGACAAACATGCCCTAGAAGCGGCAACTCCGCTGTGACCAAACTCCTCTGCTGTGGATGTCAACTCGTGACGATGACACCCACTCGACATGATGTTCGCCATGTCGGCGCCATGGCCTACTCGTTGACGGGCAGTGATGTTTGGCGTTGAATGGTCTGTCCGATGTGCAACGCTGTGCTGTTGGGTTCGCCAGCGTGGAAGAAATCGCGACGTTGGAGGCCTTGGATCAAAAAGCGACACCTGGCACCGCAGTTTGACAAAGCCAAGAGCACCCTCGCTGGTCTGCATTCGCAGCACTCCTTCCCGAACGCAAGCAGCTCGCTGGGGTCGGCACCGAGAGGCACCACCCAGTGCGGGAAAGGGGGTCTGGCGCAGCCCTCCGATACGCAAGGGACACCTGTACACCACCACCACGACCTCCTGGCCAGGGCCATCCCCTGCCTGGTATGATGTGGACGCCCTCCTGGCTTCGGCCAGTAGATCTATACACCATCTCAGGACCCAGGACTGCCCTATCAAGGCATAGAGGTGGCTCTTCTGCGTTTCTGCGGTGTGCTTCTGCAATTTTTGAATTTCCCTAGTATCGGAGAGACGCGGACTCCGGCTGCAAACGTCTCACTAAAACTGTTCAGTCGGAATTCTCGCCAAGACCAATAAAAACCGGCGGCGAACTCAACTCAAGCCCCGTCAAACTCCAGTCCAACGTCCCCCTAGAGTAATGAAGATCGGGGCTTCAACATCGTGCTTGGACGCCAGTAAGCCACGCCAACCGTCTTAGTGTCGTGATCGAGCGCCGTCTCTCCCGTCGCTCCCACTCTTTCCTCACTGCTACCGGCGCTCCTGTGCGTCTCTCGTGGTTCTTTTCCCCCCCGCCCTCCTTCCCTATCCTTCCTGGCCACCCCCCGCGTCCTGAGACAACCAAGACGGAACCTTCTCACCGTGTTCGGCCTCTGGGGTTCCTTCCAGGTCCGAAGACCGACAACAAAACTAACGAGGACGGAAAGCGGGTCGCCAGGGAAGGTCGGAATTCTGGGGGCCACGTAGAAAACGAATGACGACATCGGATGTCTGAATGTCCTCCCTCTCTCCCTCCTCCTGCCAATTCTCCAGCCCTTGAACGCACTGCTTTCTTTCCTCCGTGTCTTCCTCATTCCGGCACTCCTGTTGTACATCGTAGGGTCATCGTACGCGCAGGCTCACAGGCTTGCATTTCTTCTTTCCCTTGACCAGATATCCAACACTCGCTTCAGACCTGGCGCATACAACACTGAACAATCAATGACAACTTTTGAGCGCCTTCCAAAACCGTCGAATACCTTTTGCAGACCGCTGCCAAACGGTGAATAACTCCATCAAACTCTGGAGGCCACGCACTTCTTAGAAGGTGCGGGACGCACAGTCGTTGAGAGACAAGACCCTCTTGAGTCACTCCTTCTTTCTGAGGTCGACCACCTCGCAGGAGCCCCTTTTTGCGCGTCGCCAAATGTCATTGTGTCCTGCGCGTCGCAGGGTGAGAAGTGATGCCGAGCAGAGCCATTTCTTGAAGGAGAATGTTACGGGGGGAGCAGCTTGCGGGGGGAGGCATCGACCTGGAATCGGCGATACATCGCCGATGGATCGGCGATCGGCTCCCTATGGCGGATCTGGAAGTTCTCGGGCGGGGTGGGGCTATGGGGCCCCTGTCGACGATGAATGGGCGGTTGGGGGTCGATGCCTCCCCCGCTGAGCCCATCACCCCCGAACGTTGTCCCTGAGCTTCGGCCCCGAGTCTCCAAGTAGACACACACGCCTGGCATGGTTACAAACTTGTCGCGAAGGCTTCACGGCGACACCTTGAAACGAATGAGCAAAGCAAAATTCAACTTCGCAGCCAGCCCGCGCAGGACGTGCCCGTGGCGGCCCGCTGCTGAGCCAGCCGCGGGCACTACCGCGGCAGGCCAGAGAGCCTCGAGCTCACTGCTGCCCCGACGGCTACAAAGGCCAAGATGATGAAAATTCTAGCGATGCGCCCTCGGGAAGTGAAACCATCGTAGACGAAGAAGCTTTGTCACAGCCATGAGCTTCTGGAGGTCCACGCGCATTCTTGGATCTGCGCTGGACCCCTCTCTTGCCAGGGGCGGCGCCGGACGCGCCGCCAGAAGGGCCCGGTGCCCACCCAAGACATCCGCGCGGACCTCCAAACGTTGTTGTGTACGCCGCCTCTTGTTCTTCGACAGAAGCTGAGAGAATCCTCAAGATCAACACCAAGATAATGCGATGCCAGTCTTAGGGATAGGGGTATGTCCCCAAGCCAAACAAAAAAAGCGTCAGTACTCCTCCCAGCCCTCGGCCCACTGCTCCTCGAGCGTGTCCTCTCGCGCGCCGGACGGGCGGTTGAGGGTTTGGAGAGCGACGATGTACCTCGAGCAGGGACCGACCGTCCCGGCATTCCTATAGGCCTACCACGACATGTTCGTAGAACCACAAAGATGTTCGAATGACAAAAACAAGGTTCTACGCCCGATGTATCAAAACACGACAGTCTCACCCAGAAATGTTCTAAGACGATTTCGTGCAAACCAGAACGGGTTCTTAGAATATTCTTGGGTGGGCCCAGAGGCAAGCTGGGACGCTTCGCCACTGCTTGAACTGGGGTGAGGGCACATGCACCGAACCTGTGCCCAGGACGGTCTCGGCCAGGATCGGTGCGTTGGTCATCTGACGTCCCCCGACAAGCACGGTCGGAGGCTCGCACCGCATCGCAAATGATCGGCGATGCAAAATCGGCACGTCGCCAATGCCGGGATGCCCCGATGGTTGCCTTTCTCGCTCCTGCATGGCCCGGCATGGCCTCCAAGAGGGTTAAGATGGCCCCCGGGGAGCCCAATATTGCCCCAACATGCACCCACGACGGCCCAAGATGCGCCCAAGACTGCCAAAGATGGCCTAAAACGGCCCAAGAGGCCTCCAAGACGGCCGAAGAGGCCTCCAGAAGGGCCTTTAGAAAGGCCCGAGGAGGCACACATCATCGATGTTCTGCAAGTTTGTGACGAATGTTTGAATTTACTTCTTTTTGGTTTTCCGACGGCCCAAGACGGGCGAAGAGGCCCCCCAAATCGCTCCCAGATCGCCCAAGAGGCCTCCAAGATGGCCCCATAACGGCCCCAGAGGCCTCCAAGACGCCAGAGATGGCCCTGATACGCCTCAAGAAGGCCCCAAGTCAGTTCAGAGAGGTCCCCATGACGCCATCCGACGGCGTCTTAGGGGCCAGGGGCGCCCTGAGACAGCCAAAGGAAACTCCAAGAAACCCCTCCAAAGGCCCCCAAGAGGCCCAAGGAGGCCCACAAGAGGCCTCGAGAAGGCCTCCAGGCAGCTCCCAGGAGGCCCGAAGAGTGGCCCAAGTGGCTTGCAAGAAGCCTCCTCCTTCTTCTCCCCCTCCTTTTTCCTCCCTTTCCTCATCCCCCTCTTCTTTCTCCCACGTGTTCCCAAAATGGGTGTCCACATCGGCTGGGGGAATACACGATTGTCCCATAGCGTGCCCAAGCTTTGCCCAAACGTTTTGGCCACCTAAGCGTATCCTAAAACTCAAAGGGCGGCGACGATTCGCCGTAGGCGTCTTCGATATAAATCATGATGAGATGCCGTTTTCAAACATGGAACCGCGCGCCCAAAGGACGCTGCGCAGACGACGTGATATCACCGCGTGATTCGACATGCCTGGCGACCCACCGCCGAAAGGACAACCACATCGACCTCCATGACAACCCACGGCCTTCGGTGGTAGTGTGTATGTGGGCCCCAGAACTCGTTCGCACGCGGACCGACAAGCAAACCTGCTTCCAACACTCGTGCTTGCTGCTTGGCGAGGCTTACGCGACTGAGGCCTGGAACAAAGCGCGCCGTCTGGCCTGGACCCCCCCAAGTGCTCGAGCGGTGGATCAGAAGAGGCGGAATCCTCCTGCGGAAAGTTGCAACGGTTGCACACCGCACGGGCGCCTGGTCGAGGTCGCCGAGGTTGAGAAGCAGCGCGAAGGAAGCAGGATGACGACAACGGCGGCGAGGTGGACTGGGAGGGGAAGGAAGCGCAAAGGATACGCACAGGACGAGGGCAGGGCGACGGCAATGATGGGTCGGAGGAGGGGGTAAAGATCATGAGGGAACGGGCGACGGGGACGGGGACGGAGATCATGATGCTGATGCGGATGACGATAATGATGATGATGCTGATGATGATGATGATGAGGAGGAGGAGGAGGAGGAGGAGGAGGAGGAGGGAAGGAGGAGGAGGAGGAGGAGGGACGGAGAAGGATAAGGGGGGGATCAGTGTCAGGATGAGGATGAGGTCGTTGGGGGTCTCTGTCCCTAGCTCGCTTGACAGCGAGCTGGACCCCTGGGTGAAAACAGTGATGCAAGCCCGTTGCCTGGTGAGGTCGGCGGGTTGTCGGGGTCTCAGCGCCCCCCCCTCAGCAGAGGAGTGGCGCGCCTGCAGGGGGCCCTGCCCAGGAGAGGCGGAAGAAAGGACTCACCAGTGAAGCTCTGGGCAGGTACATCGGGCGCAAGCTCCTCCTCCCCCGCCTCCTCCCCCCCCGTTCCCCCGCGGACCGCTACGCGATGCGCCATCTCTTATGTCTCCGCGGAATTCCCTGTCCCGAGATGGGACCGAGTGGCAGAGGCGCCAAGGAGCCAGGCAGGGAACAGGAGAGGAGGACAGCCGAAGAAAGGCAAGGGACAAACCAGCAGCCGAGCCCCCCGACCAGAGGGGGGGGAGAGGGGAAGGGGCAGCCGCGGAAGGCAAGCGGCAATGCCTAGCAAACGAATTAGTGTGAGTATAGTTCCCCTTTCGGCAAGCACCGCTGTGGCATTTTTCCAGCAACTGTTCTAGATGTGCGGCCATTGCAGTCCATGGCACCTACCTGCGTACATGTTTCGATTGCTGCGTGCACCTCGCGCCTTGGATATCTGTGTTAAAACCGTAACCTGATGTCAGGAACGCGCAAGACTGTCCACGAATATTTCGTACGCGTGGCCCAACAAGGTAGCATGCGCGGCTGCGGCACCTTTTCTTTGTTCTCAGCCTCTTGAACCGTTTGGAAAGCCCTGCGCAGGTCCCCCCGAACGCGTGTCGAGCTTGTCTCGCTGTTGTTGTGACGAGCCTGGGCTCCCCGATAGACGTTTGTGTTTTATTGGGAAGAAGCCCCGCTGTTCCTTGCTCATAAAGTCTGCCAGCGCAACTGCTCCTTCCAATGTGTCAACTTCAGCTGAAAAGGGTTGCCGGCGTCTAAATTCCCCGACTCGTTCTTTGTGCAACAATATGCATACTTTCCAGTCCCTATGGGAACTCATATAAGATCGACTGAAGCTGATCCATGCTGTCTGAATTTCGCATCACGCCATCACCTCTCCGAAATAGATGTCTTCTGATCGACGCCCATATGAGCTCCTCTGTGTTCAACGGCGTGGCGTCCAAGATGATGAAATTCGGTCCGTTGGCCTCCGTCGCAGTCGCTGGCGGGACGCTGTCTCCAAGACCGCATCGGACCCACCAGACATTGACTGCTTGACTCCCGTCTACCTCCGTTGTATATGCAACCCGTGCTGCCTTCTCGTCTTGGTTTGCGTCGTCCTCACTGCGGGAACTTGCGCGTTGGCTCTCCAACGTGTGGTCTTTCAATTTTTCATCAAAGGGCTCCTGCATGTAACCTTTCTCAAACTCTTCTGTACGCTGATCTTCTGGTCTCTGCTCGAGTCCCGGCGGGGGTGATAATGGTAAGCCTCTCAATCTGCCCATCCGCTCAATCTGGTATTTTTTTGCGTGGGCGCGTCGAAAACGTTGTCGCCTTCTTTGGCTGGAGGTCACAGTTGCAGATGCCGAGAGCTCGAAACCAACTGCGGCACAAAACAAATCCATCAGAAGACGAAGAGACGATGCACGTTACGTACGGCATCGGATGTGTGGGCCTGCTGCTTCCCTGCCCGTGCTTCGCTAGTGGCGGGTCCCCCAGTCCCCCGGCCCCCCGACGCCGGCGGGTGGGGCGCCTTACTACCTCGGGTGCGATTCTGCAATCCTCTCGGCTGGGCAGGACTCGATTGCATCAAACGGCAGCCTAGGAGGAGGAGGAGGAGGAGGAGGAGGAGGAGGAGGAGGAGGAGGATACTTCCCGCCTTTCCAGGGACTCGACTACCTACAAAATCGATATTTCGACTTCCTTGTCCTCCTGTCCTTGGTCGCCTGGCTGGACTGTTTTTCTTCCTAGCTGGACGGTCCCACGGCCCAACACAGGCCCCCAGAGTCGGGAAACTGCCCAAAGCCTTCCGTCGTGACTGATTCTCCGCGGCGAAAAAGAGGCAGGGGTAGGCAGCCTTGGGAGCCCCAAGAAGGCAGAACAAGTTCTGCACCGCCCTCTGCAAAACATTCTGGACGTCTCCTGGGGTCGGCAGAGGTCTCTGCGGCCCCCCCCAGGTCCCCGCTTCCGGGCGCACCAGACAGGGAGCCCCAAGAGAGACGCGCTGCACCCCAAAAACCACGAACATCGATCCTGAATCCTTCTCCTCCTCCTCCTCCTCCTCCTCCTCCTCCTCCTCCTCCGCCGTGGCCGCATTCGTCCCCGTGGTGTCGGCGGCCGCCGCTGTGCCGGCGGCAGCGAAGACAGCACGCGCCAGCGGCACAGGGCGGCGACGACGGCGACTGCGTCGTGGCCCTTCGCCGTCGGCAGCGTCGACGGCGCCGCCGCCCCCATCGACGCCGTCGTCGCCATCGTTATCGTCGCGGCGGCGGCGGACGCCTTGCTGGCCGCAGCATCTACGACACCGCGGCCGCCGCCGCCGCCGTCTTCTTCATCGTCGACGTCGTCGTGATAGTCGTCGTCGTCGCCGTCGCCGTCGCCGTGCGCGTCGTCGCCGTCGCCGTCGCCGTCGCCGCCGTCGTCGTCGTCGCCGTCGCCGTCGCCGTCGCAGTCGCCGTCGTCGTCGTCGTCGTCGTCGCCGCCGTCGTCGCCGTCGTCGTCGTCGTCGTCGTCGTCGTCGTCGTCGTCGGCGTCGTCGTCGTCGTCGCTGTCGGCGTCGTCGTCGTTGTCGTCGTCATCGTCGTCGCCGCCGTCGTCGTCGTCGTCGTCGTCGTCGTCGTCGTCGTCGTCGTCGCTGTCGTCGTCGTCGTTGTCGTCATCGTCGTCGCCGCCGTCGTCGTCGTCGTCGTCGTTGTCGGCGTCGGCGTCGTCGTTGCGGCGGCGGCGGCAGCTCCTCCGGCGGCAGCATCGACGGCGCCAACTCGCCCGAGAGGCACAGCTGGGACGCGGAGCCAAGCCACTGCGACGAAGCCGCTGGCGACGCCAGCCGCAGCTCGCCCGATGCAGGTCGCGACGGCGCCTGCGGTCGCCGTCGGCAACCTCCTCGTCCTGCACCGCCGTCGCTGCTGTCCTTCAGACACGTTCTCCCTCCCTCCTCCCTTCCTTCCTCTCCCCTCCTTCGCCGCCCCCTCTTCTTCAAGGGCCCGTGCCAAGTACCCCTTGCGGGTAAGGGAACATAGCCCCAAAGGGGGTACGTTCGAAGACGAAGAGGGCGGGTATTGAGGGTTTGGGCTGCATGTTCAAAGACGCGCGAGCAGTTAAAAACGAACACGTCCGAAATGCTCGCCATCGTGCCGTCGTGGTCGTGGCCGCCGTCTGGGAGATGCCTGGGCGCGCCTGGAAACTCCTGCCGCCCCGGCCGATCGCGGCTCCGCGAGCTGGCCGGGACGGGCTCGGCGAGGGCTCCGTGGGCCCGAGCCCGGGCGGGTCTTGGCCGGGGGCCTCGACGAGGCTCCGACGTCGCTGCCGCCCTCGGGCATACGTCGTCGACGGCACGACGGCGGCCGGCGGCGCGGAGGGCGGCGGGAGCGGGCGAGAGGAGGGAGAGGGGCTCCTCCGGGGCAGGAGGGCGGAGGGAGGGAGAGGGAGAGGTGAGGGAGGAGAGGGCGGGAGGGTGAGGGAGAGGGGAGGGAGGGAGGGGGGAGGGCGAGGGAGGGGAGGGGGAGGGGAGGGCGAGGGAGAGGGAGGAGGGAGGAGGGAGAGGAGGGCGGGGGGGGGCGAAGGGAGGGGGTCCTCCGGGGCCTCGCCCCGGCCTCCGCGTGGCCCCTGCGCCGCCCGGGTTGGGTGGTGCTCGGGTTCCGAGCTCCCGGTAACGCCGCGCCACAGGACATGTCTGGGGAATCCCAGGGTGGAGGAGGGCGGCGGGGGCTGCAGGGGCGGAGGCGAGAAGAGGGAGGAGACCGGGGGGGGGGAGAGAGGGCGATGTGGAGGAAAGACGGGGGGGGGGAGACCGAGTGAGAGGATGAGAAGAGGGAGGGGGAGGGGGGCAGGCGAAAGAGGGGAGGGAGGCAACTTTTGACGAGGGGGGAGGCGTTGAGAGGTGGGGGAGTGGAGGGTAGAAAGAGGAAGGGAATGGAAGCCTCCTCCTCCTCCTCCTCCTCCTCCTCCTCCTCCTCCCTACTGCCTACACTGCCCACTCCTCTCCACTTTCCTGCTCCTCCTCCCTCCGCCTCCCCCCTCCCCTCCTCCTCCTCCTCTCCTCCTCATCCTCCTCCTCCTCCTCCTCCTCCCTCCCTCCTCCCTCCTCCCCCTCCCCCCCTCCTCCTCCTCCTCCTCCTCCCTCCTCCCTCCTCCTCCTCCCTCCTCCCTCCTCCTCCTCCCTCCTCCCTTCCTCCCTCCTCCCCCCCTCCCACCTCCTCCCCCTTTCCTCCCTCCTCCCTCCTCCCTCCTCCCTCCTCCTGCTCCTCCTCCTCCTCCTCCTCCTTCTCCTTCGCCTCCTCCTCCTCCTCCCTCGACGACGACGACGGGCCCGACGCCGACGACGGCAGTGTCTCCAGGACGGGCCCAGACATCCTCCGATCCGATGTTTCAGTCGGCGATCCCCAAGCTTCCGATCCCTTCCATGGGGGTGATTTTAAGTCGGGCATGTCCCCCTACAGGCGGATTCAGGACGATCAATAAAACATATTCGAAAACATCACAACAAGTCAACGCATACCCCAAACATCGTCCCCCGACTGTGCTTTGACAACTTTTGAATATCCCCCCTGTAGAGGGACATGCCCGACTTAAGGGTAATTGCACCAGTCCTTCAGGGCGTGAGTGGTTTAGAGCGTTTCCCATGCCAACCTCCTTCTTCGCCTTCGGGGAGGGGTGCATTTCTGTTCAGACATCCCTCCCCCGTACCTCCTCCCCTGGACCTGGACGGGGGCGGAGTTCTCGACCGATTGGAGCGTCCAAGAAGGCATCGGATAGAGGGCAACAGTCAGTGATGCTACTAAGGTGAGGGGCCCATTTTGGCCTCCTGGGTGGGGGGGCCATAACCGCTAACCCGTGAGAATAAACACTAGGGTATAATAAAGTTCGGGGTTCAGGGGGAGATAATCAAAGTAGCCCAACAGACCTCAGCATAATCTCGAAGTAAGAGATGATCAAGAGGAGACCAAGCCGAGCACGTTTTGAGACATCCTTGGCGTTTAGTCTTCATAGAAATATCCTCAACAATGGCTTATCTCGCTGGAGACATCCTCGACAAATCCCTTGTTTCGCTTGAGACATCCACAAACTATTGCTTATTTCGCTTGAGACACCGTCAAACTATTGCTTATTTCGCTTAAGAAAGGCGGAGAAATGGAGAAAGCGATATACAAAAACAACAATAAAAAGAAACAATAAGAAATGAAAAAGAAAAAGGAAACAAAATCAAAAAGAAAAGAAAATAGAAGAGGAGGAGAAAGAGAAGGAAAAATCTCAAGTTCAAATGTATTAGATTTTATTTACAAGCGCTTTATGAACATTAAAATTTTTAAGTGCTCGTGTAGGGTAGCTCATGTGCTTCATTTTCCATGGATAACCAACCCCAGGGATAAAAAAGTTCAGAAGGGGGGGGGGGGGCATGGAGAGAGAGAGAGAGACAGAGAGAGAGAGAGAAAGAGAGATACATCATAAAGAAAAAGAAAGGAAGGTCTTAAAGAGAGAAGATATATTTAAAAAGAAAAGTAGAATAAGAAATGAAAAGGATAAAGAGAAGAGGAAAGGAGGATAAGACAAAAAAACTGAAGATTCAAATGTATTAAATTTTATTTACATGCGCTTTATGAACATTGAAATTTTTAAGTGCTCGTGTAGGGTAGCTCACGTGCCTCGTTTTCCCTGGAGAATCAACCCCAGCGATAAACAAGTTCAGGGCGCCAGGGGGAGGAGGAGGAGAAAGAGATAGAGAGACAGAGAGAGAGAGAGAGACAGAGAGGCCAGGAAGGAGAAAGAGATAGAGAGAGAGAGAGAGAGAGAAAGAGAGACAGAGAAAGAAAGAAAGAAACAGATACATAAATAACTACAAAGAGACATAAAGACATTGGTTTCGCTTGAGACATCCTGAAACAACGTGTTCGCTTCGCTTGATGTTGTTATCTCAACATAAGAAGGAAGTAACTTCGATGGTGAACTTTTCCCGTGATAATGAAGTTCGGCCTCCGCGCCCCCGCGCCCCCGACCAAACTCTTATTGGTCGACGATAATCGACTCTAAACACTGAAGGGGGGGGGATACATTATTATCCTCGGCATGCGGTTAATTGAGCCCCCCTCCTTCTTTGATTGATTTCCTCCAAGCTGGCCCACCATGGCCCCCAAGGCTCCCAATGGCCCAAGAGTGCCTGAAGAGGGCCCCGAGAGGCGCCCAGGAGGCCCAAGAGTCCCCAAGAGGCCCCCAAGAGACCCCCAAGAGACCCCCAAGAGACCCCAAGAGGCCCCAAGAGACCCCCAAGAGGCTCACAAGAGACCCCCAAGAGGCCCCAAGAGGCTCTCCCGAGGCACCTCAGACGCTCCAGGAGGCACCCAGGACCGCCAAGAGGACCCCAAAGACGCCCCAAGATGACTCCAAGAGGCTTTCAAGAGACATCCGAAGAGACCCCGAGAGGCATCCAAGAGGCCTCTGGCAATTCTGCTCGCCCTCCTTCTCGGCCTGTCTTCCTCCTCCTCCTCCTCCTCCTCCTCCTCCTCCTCCTCCTCCTCCCTCCTGTGGTGTGACGGCTTCCCCAGCAGGTTATTTTACCGCATGTTCCTTCACATCCCTCATCAGAGCAACTCGCCTGGACATCGTTTCTGGCTGGGCTGGTGAAATTACACACGAGGCGTTTAGAATCAGCTTTGCGTCCCGGATTCGTTCTCGGTGGCCGTTCGGGACGCTCCGGGCACCGCCAAGAAGCCCTCGGCGAGGCGCAGCTGCAAGAACGCATCTGTGTGCAAGAGGGCCCCCCGGAACCGGCGAGAACGTCCCCATGACCCCGAACGCCCACTGGCACCCCAGAAACCCCGGCCCCCCTCGGCGATATGGCAGGGTCTAGGACCTGCAGGCGCGCCGCGGCGATCATGACGAGGCGGGCGGGGCGGGCCCGGGGGCCGTGTGGCATCCTGACCCCGTGTGGCCCCGACGTCCTCGGACCCCGAGAGCACGGCGGAGGGTGCCTCTGGGCTTCCTCGGCCTTTGCTGCGAGAAGGGCCCGAGGGCTCGTCGCGCGCGGCCTCCCCCCCCACCCCAGGGCCAGCCGGCCCCGGGGGGCGGATCCAACTGACGCCCCAGGAGTGTTGTCGCCAGCTGCGGAGAACATCTGTGGGCGCCAGAAAGAACACGGACAGGAGGAGGAGGAGGAGGGGAACAAAAAATGGCAAAAACATAAAAACTCGGAGGTCCGCGCGGATTTCTCGGATCGGCGCTGGACCCCCCTCCCTGGGCGGCGCCCGAGGCGCCGCCGGGGGGCCCCAGCGCCGATCCGAGAAACCCGCGCGGACCTCCGAGGTTTTATGTTTATGTCATTATTTGCTCCCCCAAAGGAGGGAGGCAGGCGAGGACAGATAACCGAGAACGTCTGGCCGCCGCACCGCTTGGGGGGCCCCCGACCCTCGTCCGACCCGAGGAGCCGCCGCCGCCGAGGCCGCCGAGGAGGGAGCCGAGGGCCCCTGGGGCGGGGCCCGCCAGCGCCGCGGGCTCTCGTCGAGGGTCTAAGACGAAGCCATGACGAGGAGCAAATCGGGTGAGGATGCATCGAGAATCTCCGAGATCCGGCGGCTCCGGAGGATGTCTCGGGCGCCGCGGCCTTCTCAGAGCGTTCCGGTACCCTCTGAGAACGTTCCGGAACGCTCTGGAACGGATCTGCCCGTCGGTCGGAAGAAGTGGGTAGAAACATGAAGCAGGAAGGCGTTGGAAGTAGATTGGGCTTCCGCCCGCGCCCTGAAGAGGAAGAAGGACAACTACTCGATTACCGGTAGGTTCGTGGTGTCGGTGCGCGCAAAAAGTTCTGACACCGCGTCGATCGTTCAACCATGAATCGATCGAGATCCTGATCGTACAGGGTTGAATTCCGTCGGGTCCCATGGCGTTACCATGTCCCTCGGTGCTTCCGCGTTGCAGAGTTCAACCTTGAACGCCTTCGCCAGCGTCGCCAACTCGCCAGCGCCGCATGAACCTATCATAGGAAGGCGCCCAAAGTAGATTGGGATCTGGGAATCCAGAAATACCTACTTCCAACGACCGACGTGTATCCTCGTCCTGGCCCCGTCCCAAGGGAGCCGAGGCCGCCCTGGGGCGGGGGCCGCCAGCGCCGCGGGCCCTCGTCGAGGGTCGTCGATCTCGGGTGAGCCTTCCCTTCATGGGAGACTCATGTGGACCTCCGCGGCGCCATCGTAAGCGCAATTTCGACCAAATGTCGCCCACATTTCGACCGCCCCTCTGCGCCCTGTCGTCCAAATGTCGTCCAGACGTCGACCAACTCCGACGAAATCCGGACGACGTCGCCCAAACCGGGAGAAAGCTCGAAACCCTCTGAGGCCCTCCTGGGATGACCACACAGTCGAGCATGGCTGAACCGTCTGACCGGCCCCCAGGCTTCCGACGATCTGGCTTCTAAGTTGTGGGCGTCCTGATCACGATGATAATTGGAGGCCTGGAAATGGACACCAACACGAAGACACGGGGCTGCCTCCACAGGGTGGAGCCCATCCTAGAATTCGGTGTTGGTGGTAACATTTCGGTCGCCTGGGAGGCCAGAATAGTACCACCATCACCGAGATCGGGATTTTCCTCCCTCGGTGGAGGAACGCCGCCGATCTTGGTGTTGGTGTCAACCTCTGGGCCTGCGATGATCACCCAAATCTGCGACGCTCTGGCTCTTTCGTGCTGGGCGTCTGCGCTCGAACCTGGGCTGCGGGGCCCGTCGCTGGGCCCCGGGGGCCTCGCCGAGAACGGCCCGGGGCGCAGAGCTACCCACGGGGGCGGGGGGTCCGGAGCTCCAAGACCGCGGACGGAGCACATGATGTCGGAGGACGTCTGGGCTGAGCATCGTTTACACGTCGGTCGGCAGAAGTAGGTAGAAGCATGAAGTAGAAAGGCGGATGCAGTAGACTGGGTCCAGGTCCTCCCAGAGAATAGCAAAACACAGCAAACGCATGCCGATTCTTGAAGTAGGAAGGCGCTTGAAATAGATTGGGATCTGGGAGTCCAAAAATACCCATTTCAACGACCGGCGTGTAACGTATCCCCGGCCCCACTGGCATGGCCTCGGCCCCAGTGGCCAAGTGGGGATGCTGTGCTGCTCCCCGCCGGTTCCGCGCGGGGGCCTGTCCCCGCACAGCGGGGTAGGGCTGGGGGGGGGCTGAGGCTCACATGGCTCAGCGGGGATGGGGATCGCTAAGACGATGCTGAGTCGTCGGCGTCGTCGTCGTCGACAACGTCGGCCGTCGTGGGCGGCGTGGTGGGAGTCGCCGTCGTGGTCGGCATCGTCGTCGTCGTCGTCGTCGTCGTCGTCGTCGTCGTCAGCGTCTTCGTCGGGCGTGAGCGTCGTCGCCAGCGTCGTCGTCGGGCGTGAGCGTCGTCGCCAGCGTCGTCGTCGGGCGTGGGCATGGGCGGCGGCGTCGTCGGGCAGCTGCACCCTGATCCTCAGATCGATCAACATCGAATCGGGAACTGGACCGGATCAAAATGCGAATCGGATCGGGCCGCATCGGCACGGAGCCGGAATCGAATCCGATCGGCCGCTCCAAGATGCTCAACAATGCCGTGCTCGCATCGGGCCGCATCAGACGGACCGTCGGATCCATCGAATTCGGATGGGGGCGGCAGAGACATCGGCATCGAATCGGGTAGATCGGATCGAAGTGGATTTTGCTCCAGGTGCCCAGATATCCGAAGCGACAGCGCTACCCATGTGTGCCCGCCGAAGGTGATGCAACAACTTGAGGCGAAGGAGGAGGAGAGAGAGGAGGAGAGAGAGAGAGAGAGAGAGAGAGAGAGAGAGAGGAGGAGAGGAGGAGAGAGGAGGAGGAGGAGGAGGAGGAGGAGGAGGAGGAGGAGGAGGAGGAGGGAGGAGGAGGAGGAGGAGGAGGAGGAGGAGGAGGAGGAGGAGGAGGAGAGAGGAGGAGGAGGAGGAGGAGGAGGAGGAGGAAGAGGAGTTGGATGTCGAGGAAGGGGATCACCACTTGGCGCGGGCCGCCGGGATCAGGGCGGACCCAGAAAGGCCCGCCCCCCCCACCACGGCCCCCTATCGGCGGCGATCCCGGGGGGAAATGAGAAGGGGCGGGCCTTCTCAGAAGGCTCGGAAGTCCCCCGGCCCTCTGAGAAGTGCGCTGAGCCTCCCCCGAAGGCGCAGAAGACCTCCCCGAGGCCCTCTGAGGCGGCCTTCTCCTCCTCGCCTCCCCCCCCTCGCTGGCCGCCGACCAACCTGTGAGCCTCGATCCCTCGAGGCACCCCGCCGCGGGCCTGGTGCCGCGGGTGCTGCTGCTGGGCCCGGAGGCGCCGCAGCTGCCGCTCCTGCGCCGGGGGGGGGGCGCGGGCTCCCTCGCCGCCGCGGGCAGGGCGGCGAGGCCGCCGCGCCCGAGCAGCTCGGGGAGCGGCTCGCCCCACGAGGGAGGCGGACGCGCAGATGCTGCGGCCAGGCCCGGGACCTGCCGTCGACCAGTGCAGGATGCGCGACAGGGATGCGGGGGCCTCGGGATGCCCCCCTCGAGGCTTTCCGAGCGGGGCGCGGCCAACGAGAGTGGCGAGGGAAGGATGCAAAAGTACCCTTGGGCCGGCTGCCCACCCTCACTATGCGGGTTGACGGCAAGACCTGAGGACGTCCTTCAAGAACATGAGACCCTCCGCCGGCCACGCTGGAGAACCTCCGAGGGAGTACCCTCCTCCAGGATGCACAGGAGCATCCGCCAAGCACGAAGAGCATCAGGGCACCCTCCCTGAGCCGACCTCTCGATCTCATGCTGCACACGCGTGCAGGCACGCCCCCTCCCACACGCTCCAGACATCACGCGTGGCCGTTGTGGTGAAAGGGTGCCGCCGGCGCGCGGAGGCGGGCGGCGCCAGGGGGGGGGGCCTGCTGAGAGGGCAGAGGGGGGGGCTTCTTAGAGGCCCTCCTGGCTTCTGGGAGGCCTTCCTTAACGCCCCTGGGCCCTCCCGAGGAACCCCCTGCCTTCCAAGAAGCGCCCCGCGTGCGCACGAGGGGGCGCGACGATCTCCTTCGACTGCCCCTGCGCAGATGAGCTCCTGAGGGGTGATTCGGAACCCGCTGGAGGTGGAGGCGGTGGAGAAGGGAGGCAGGTGGAAGAGGGAGGGGCAGGAGGAGGAGGAGGAGGAGTAGGAGGAGGAGGAGGAGGAGGAGGAGGAGGAGGAGAAGGAGGGAGGGGGCAGCAGGAGGGGGGCAGCGGGAGGAGGAGGAGGTGGAGGAGGAGGTGGAGGAGGAAGATGAGGAGGAGGATTAAGGGCAAGAAGGAGAAGGAGGAGTAGCCGCCTTGGCCTCCCTGGCAACGCTGAGGTTGCCCTGGGCCACGGCCACCTCCAGGGAGGCATCCGATGATTCCAATGGTCCAAAGGAAGCCTGAGGAAGCCAACACGGGCTGCCGAAAACGCTCAGGGGCCTGGATAACGGATAACCTCGACACTGCGACGCCCACGAGGCCCCCACGCACCCCCAAGCAGCCCTCCAGATGCCCCGAGAGCCCCCTTCCTGCTCCTCCCCCCGCTCCTCCTCCTCCTCCTCCTCCTCCTCCTCCTCCTCCTCCTCCTCCTCCTCCTCCTCCTCCTCCTCCTCCTCCTCTGCTGCTTTCTTTCCAACCAGTCTGTCACATCTTGCCTTGTGAGTCGGCGGAATGGCACAAGCGTCTTGAATAACCTCAACTCTGCCGCATCGATCCTCCACAGTGCGCCTGCGCGCGACCTTGCGCTGCCAACTTGCGGCCGAATGTCCGCGCGGCTGATCCCCCTTCCTTCAAGTCGCTCCAGTGGTGGCGAGCAGATGCGGTTGAGGGCGAGGGGGAGAATGGCCTTCTGAGCAGGCAGAGGGCATCTCAAAATCTAAACGACGACGTCCACGAGCGGGCCTGGAACCCAACTTATTCATCTTCTCCTGTGGTGATGCTGCGTGACGGGCCCTCCCCTGGACATGCCTTCATCGGCATCCTGCATCCGCGGGACCCTGGCCACATGAAACATCCCACCACATAAGTCGGGGGCGTGCAAACATGGATTAGCGATCCATGGATTTGGCGCGCGGTCGCCACATCCATGGATCGGGGGAGGTGCACTTCCCAAAATGCGGCGGGTGCCGCCCCGCTCAGCGGCGAAATCCGCGAATTCCAATGGAAACGGACCCGTCGCTAATCCACGCCCCCTTGATCCATGTTTGCGATCGCCAGAATCGGCGGTGGACAGAAACCTCCCTTTAGTAAACCACCCTTCGGTGAAAACGGCCTAGGACCGACACCGACGGACCTGGACCCGCAAACATGCCGGCCGCGACGCCCTCTCGCGAACCGAAGACGGCCAATGCGCTAAGCGACGTGCCAGGGGTAGGGGGTCTATCAACCTCCGACTGAGTACAGGGCAGTTTTCAATACGTATATTTTTAATATGTTTTTTTTTATACATGCTTAGTTTATGAATAGATTTATGCATGAAGTCATCGCTGTTTTTAAACTAATTCCCTGCATGTTCAATACATGATCCGCACGCGGAACATATATCAAAAACGGCTATGTAAGGCCCAGAGCCAGCTCCCGAGACCAGAGGGCCCCCGGAAGCCCCTTGGGGGCTCTCGCCGCAGGCCCCTCCGAGCCCAGGGCATCGGGGGGCACCCCGGCAGACCGCTGTGGCGCGCCCGCACCTTGCGCACGCCCCTCCTGGCACGAGACCCCCGCGTCGCCGCTTGCTCGTCGCGGGGTGTCCCCTGCGGCCCATGGGGCGGTCGACATCGAATCGAGACATCGGACCTTCTCCTCCGCCTCCTCCTCCTCCTCCTCCTCCTCCTGCTCCTCCTCCTCCTCCCTCCTCCCTCCTCCTCCCCCTCCTCCTCCTCCTCCTCCTCCTCCTCCTCCTCTCCTCCTCCTCCTCCTCCTCCTCCTCCTCCCCCTCCTCCTCCTCCTCTCCTCCTCCTCCTCCTCCTCCTCCTCCTCCTCCTCCTCCTCCTCCTCCTCCTCCTCCTCCTCCTCCTCCTCCTCCTCCTCCTCCTCCCTGAGCGCTTCCGGGGGCCTGGCTCAGGAGCGGCAGCGTCGGCCTGGAATCGGCGATGCATCGCCGACAGATCGGCGACAGCCCCCCGATGGCAGACCCGCACGGCCCTCCGCGGCCTGGGCTACATCGGGCCCCCCTCGGCGATATCCGGGGGCGATTCGGGGCCGACGCACTCCCGCCTTACCAGCCTGGAACATATCCCTATCCCTATGCTGGGCACCTCCTCAGCACGATGCCAATCTTAGGGACTCCCTTCTTTTCTGAGGGCGACCCCCTAAGATTGGCATCGCCTCTTGGCGTGTCCATCTTAGGGATAGGGATGCGCTCGAGGCTGGCAAGCCCGAGCCCGTCCTCCACGAACGCGCTTCCCCCCGAGGGCGCCTTCTCCGCCAGCAGCGCCCCCGGCGGCAGCGTGGGGCCCTGCGGCTGCCCGTCGCCGTCTCTGCCGCCGGCGCCGTCGTCGACGCCTTCTCGGCGCCTCTGTCGTCAGCGGCACCGTCGACTGGCCATCGCTCGGACGTCCATTCCCTGTGCTTTTTTCGGTTTCGCGCGTGGCTTTTTCGCCAAATGATCAAGGATGCTCCTCGATGGTCCTCGCCGAAGGAAAAATGCACACGTCCGAACGATGCCAAGTCGATGTCAACGGCGTCGTCCCCTTGGCATCCGGCACCTCGCAATCAGCAGGGCGGCCAACCTGTCCCCATCTCTGAGCACCTGGACGCCCCTTTCGAGCCCCCGGGACGTCGAAATGATGCACTTTCGAGGGGGTCGAGAAACAAGACCACAGCGGGACGAGGAGAAATCCTGGATGACAATCGGGGATCGGGAACTGGCGGGTCCGGAAGATGCAGCCAGCACACCGCCCCTTCCACGATGGCCTGGAACGCTCTGAGGGCGCTCCAGGGAGACGTTCCGGAACGCGCTGGGGCCACTTGTCCTCATCTAAGGCCTGCCTGAAGAGGTCCAGGGGCACACGCAGAAGATGCACAGTCGGAGCGCCACATGCCAACGTGGTCCTGGACGTCAACGGCGTTCTCGGAGTTAGCTGTCGTCGCTGGCGTGCGATGGCATCGTCGGCGTGCGTCGGCGTGCGGCTGTGTGCGTCGTCGGCGTGCGAGGTCGTCGGCGTCGTCGTTGTCGTCGTCAGGTGCATAATGAACCAAATGTCCTGTTCGAGCCTTTCGCGGGCAGTTTCCCAGACCTGCTTTCATTCAGGTCTGGGAGCCCTCAAACTTGCATGATGCTGATATTGTTAGTGGCGATAGTGATGATAGATGGTGGCGCCGATGAAATTGATTAAGATGATGATGAGATGGATGATTGGAATGGTATTATGAAGGTGATGAGGCTGGGCGGCGAAGCCTGAGGCGGCGCACTGGCGATGCTGATGGCGATATTGGTGATGGTGATGATGAGGTGGATGGTGGTGATAGGATTGAAGCTGACGGTGGTGATGACGGGAGTGATGATATGATAGGATGGGGATGGGAATGGGGATGGGGATGATGACGATGATGATGATGCTGATGATGGTGATGATGATGATAATGATGATGGTGGTGATGATGTTGATGTTAAGAATGATGATGATGATGATATGATGATGATGATGCTGATGCTGATGCTGATGATGATGATGATGATGATGATGATGATGATGATGATGATGATGATTATGATGGTGCTGGGCGGTGTTGACACCGGGCGCAGCAGGCGCACAAGACAACGACGAGGCATACCAGGCACACCGAAGGCACACCAGGCACATTGACCAGGCACACCGTGCACACCGACCAAGCCGACCAGACACACAGCCCGAGAACACCACGCACACTGACCAAGCACAGAAAGAACACACACCGCACGTATCAAGCAGACCACGCGCACCGCCCAGGCCAAGCACACGGACCATGCACACCAGGCGCACCGACCAGGCACACCACGAACACCGACCAGGCGCACCAGGCACACCGACCAGGCACAGCAAGCGCACCGCCCAAGCACACCCGGCATACCGACCAGGCACAACAGGCACACCGACCAAAAACAGCAGACACACCGACCGGGCACACCAGACAGACAGACCGACCAGGCACAACAGGCACGACAGGAACACCGACTAAACACAACAGGCACACCGCCCAGGCACAGGAGGCACGACAGGCACGCCGACCAAGCACGCTCGACATACCGACTAGGCACAACAAAAACAACAAGCACAATGACCAGGCACACCCGACACGCCGACCAGGCACAGCAAGCACACCGTGCTGACGCGTGCCCAGCGACGCCTCCCCCCCGCGAGTGGCGTGACCTGGGCCCAATCTGTGGCGAGGTGCGGGGCCACGGGTCACGCGCCGCTGGAAGACGCGATCCTCCAGCAGCCTTCCAGCTGGAGTGTGGCTGCGGACAGCCAATGCTGCAGGTCGATGCAGCTTCTTGCAGTCGCCGTCGGGCAGATGCATTGCCGCCAACGCCGCTGCGCCCGCTCGAGCAGACCCGCGCGTCTCCGGGCCTCCACTCGCCATCGCTCGGACGTCCATTCCCCGTGTTTTTTTCGGTTTCGTGCGAGGCTTTTTCGCCAAGTGATCGAGGATGCTCCTCGATGGTCCTCGCCGAGGAAAACATGCACACGTCCGAGCGATGCCAAGTCCACGTCTCGTCGATTCGCCCGCCGCGGCCTCGGCGCCGATGGCCTCCCGGCCTCCCTCCGTCGCTGCTGCCCAGTGCGCGCACGTGCCTCCACGGTGCGGGCGCAGGGGGGCCCGTCCCTGCCCAGCGGCCAGCGTCGCAGACCCCCGCCCGCCGCAGGCAGCTGCCTCGCCGCGGGCACGCGCGGGAGCCGCCCGTGGGAGTCTCGTGCCTTGGCTGACGGCCTCTGGGTCGCTGCGGAAATCGCGGAGCGCATCTTCGTGCTTCGCGTCGCCGTTTCGGGGGCATGCTGGGGCCAGCCCGCGAATGCCCGTGCTGCGCCGCTGTCCTGTGGTCGATAGAGGCGCACGCCGCCTGGAGCAGGAAAATAGCGTCCTTCCTGTTCGGTTGGGGCGTGCGGTTCGCACCCCACTGTGGGAACCTCTCGCGCGTTCTTCCAGCGCCCGCTCGTCCTCCAGCTGGATCAATATGCTGGCCAGCACGGCGTGGAACTATGCGTCGTTCACATGCGCGCGCGGCGTGCAGCCGCCACCCTGGAATAGGAACACGTGGCCCTTGCGACGCATCAATGCCGCGTCCTCCTCGGTCAGATGTCCACTGTACCAATCCAGTACCACAGCGATACTCTCAGAGGACGTCGTCGTATCTGGCATCATCCACTCGAGAGCTCCCGCCGCGTCCTCCGAACCAGAAATTGCTGGGAAAAAACGCGCACATTGTCGGAGGCATGGGTCGTCGTGACCCCGCGTCGGGGCAGCAGCCAAGATGGTGTGCCTCTGCCTTGTCTGCGCGTGAATCCCGCGGACGCTTGGCTGACGGCCTCCCTTTTGCAGGGAGCGAAGGAACGACTGGGAGGCGCAGGCAAACCCGGAGTGGCGAACACGGAGATCAGAAGGGAGAACGTACGAAGCACGGAGACGAAGGCCGAAGCAGGAGGGAGGGATGTAGTACGGGGACGATATGGCCGACCAACATCCGCGCAAACCGGTCCCCCCATACCCCCCCACTGGGGGGTCATCCTAGCATTTGTTCGAGCCGCGTCCAGCCATGGCGTCGGGAAGCTCCAGAAGCGCCCGAAAAGTGCTCGAGACGAGGTCGTTGCCGACGTCGCCAGCTCCAGCACAAGGAGGGCCTCAATATCTGGTGTTCTGACTTTCTCCAGTGCGTGCCCCCCAGGATTCTAGACACATTCGTAGGGACAATCGCTTCCATCTATGCTCGTATTTGGATGGCCCTGCAGCTGAAGCGGTTCCTGGCGGCAAACACTACGAAACAACCGCGGTATTGTTTTCTGGTTGCAAGACGCCTCAAAGTGCGGTTCGGGCCTCAACATCGACCCCTGAACCGGTACATGGGGTGCGTTCCGACAGTGATTTCGAGGCGGATCCATCCACGGCCACGGGGATGCCCAGAAAAAGGCCAGGAATCGATCGCAACGTAGACCCCTGGTTGTCTCGGGAGCGGCAAAGAGGGGGGTGTCCAAGAGGGGGGGGTGCAAATCATGGCCGGCGGCATGTGCGCGGCCCAGCGGCGGGGCCTGGGACGTAATGAAATAAGAAGAGGCGCCATGAAATCTGGGGAGATATCATGGCCCCCGCCATGATATCCCCCCCCTAATCATCACCCCCCTCTTTGCCGCCCCCGATTGTCTGGACCTTCCCCTGGGACCGGTTCTTCATCCCGGATATTTGTTGTCGGTCCACAGGCCCAGGAAGGGGCCCCAGAGAAACATGCCAACACCGCCCGCGGTGATATTTCGCCTCGACAGGAGGTGGGGGAGCGTTTGACAACTTAACCCTGGAACCTCGAGCCGAAGGGAGCTGGCTCAGGGGTTGAAAACCAGTGATCTGGAACCGGCGATACATCGCCGCCAGACTGCAGAAGACCCCGACGGGGAGACCCCGTGCTCCTGGGCAGGCTGGGGCTATCCAAGCCACGATCGGCGAGACGAAGGCGACTGAGGGTCGATGTTCCTCCCCCCCCTGCGCCAGTCCTTCTCGGGGGTGCACTGACTCGGGTTTGACGCAAAATGACGCGCGTGAAAGCCTGGCGCGACGACAACCATGCGCATCGCGCGTTCCAAACATCCGACCGCAAGGCTCAAAAAGCTAAGTTGCGCGCCAGGACATGCGGGGGCCCAAGTGGGGATGGCTTCCTTTTGACTGCGTGGTGGTCTGGATGAGGGGGGGGGGTCGGGGGGGGGGGGGGGGGGGCATTTTTCGCCAGGGCAGGATCCTGCAAGATCCTGCGCGCAAGCCCGGGTCAATGCACCTCTGTTTGGTTGACCCAAAAGGAGGTCAAACTGGAAGGGGGTGGTGCAATAGATTTGGGGCAATTGCATTGCAACTGTCTTGCGCCAGAGACATCTGTTGCATTGTGTTGCAACGCAATGCGCGCGAAAAGCCAGCAATACATTTGCGCCGCAAGAAATGTAGTGCACGCCCCAAACCTGTTGCAACCTAAAAATCTATTGCACCAGATCTACTGCCCCACCCCCTTGCAGCTGGACGTCCATTTGGGTCGACCAGGTCCTGGCGCTGCAGGATCATGCAAGATCCAGCGCTCATCGGGGGCGCGCAAACATGGATTAGCGATCCATGGATCTGGCGCGCGGTCTCCAAATCCATGGCTCGGGGGAGGCGCCCGCCCCAACGTGCAGCCGGTGCCGCCTCGCTCGGCGGCAGAAACCCACGATTTCCCATGAAAGCGGGACCAGTCGCTAATCCAATTTTTTTAAACCGTGGGCACGACCGCGGTGCCAAGGGCAGCACTGAGCTGCCGTGGACTGCCCAGGTGGAGCAGCTTCTGGGAGCTAAACAACCAGGAAGCATGTACCAAGAGCCTGCAGGCCCCCTTGAATCCATGTCTGCGATCGCTGGAGCTCAGACCGAGCCCCAGTGGCACTGACTCCTCGGCTCAGGAGGCTCCCGCCCTCCCCCCCCACGGGGGGTGCCCCTGGACTTAGAGATCGGGCGTGTGCCCCCCCCCCCCCCCCCTGCAGGGATCGGGCGTGTGCCCCCCCCCCCCCCTGCAGGCGGGTGTTGGGCGAAGAATTGAGAGCACGCAGAGAATGCCCCCAAAATAGTCAAACACATAATCGAAAGACAGTCTACAGCGCATTTTTGACGATTTTTGGGATGCTCCTCCTGTAGAGGGACGGGCCCGAAGTAGCCCTGGACCTCCCCTCGCCGGCCTCGGGCGCCGCAGCCCTGCCCGAGCTCGGGACGAAGCCCCACCCACCCCCGGAGGCGACGACGGCGGCGCCGACGACGACGACGACGACGGAGACGACGACGACGATGACGACGACGGCGATGACGACGATGCCGACGACGACGACGGATGACAACGACGACGACGGCCCGTTCCCTTTGCGGATGGCAAATGGTGGGTGTGTTTATTAATCAATTAACTAACCGCATGCCGATGATAATAAAGGGACCCCCCCCCTTCAGTGTTTAGAGTTGATTATCGTCGCCCTATACAAAATTCAAATTGGGCGGCGAGCGCTGAGGCCGAACTTCATTATCACCTCGAAACGCTATGTTGAGATAGCAACATCAAGCGATGTTGATATAGCAACATCAAGCGAAGCGATCACACTTTTTCAGGATGTGTCAAGCGAAACCAATAATTTTGGGAGGCAGACTCAAACGAAACGAGCAATGTTCTTATTATTCTTCTACTTTCCTCTTCTTCTTTTATATTTCTATCTGTCCTCACGCTCGCCTGAACTTTTTTATCCCTGGGGTTGATTATCCATGGAAAATGAAGCACATGAGCTACCCTACACGAGCACTTACAAAAAACAATTTTCATGAGAGATAAGCCGTTGTTGAGGATATTTCTATGACAACTAAACGCCAAGGATGTCTCAAAACGTGCTCGGCTTGGTCTCCTCTTGATCATCTCTTACTTCGAGATTATGCTGAGGTCTGCTGGGCTACTTTTATTATCTCTCCCTGAACCCCGAACTTTATTATCCCCTAGTGTTTATTCTCACGGGCATGAGGTTAATCAATTTGTTTTAAACCATTGTTATTCCAATTATCTATTTATGTTGTTGTTTTAGTTGTTTTGATTTGTGTGTGTGTGTGTCCCTGTGTGTGCTGCGCGGGCGTCTTGCTGTCCTGGGCTCCCGCCCCCTCGCCGACCCCTGCTCTCCGCCCCGAGCTCCAGGCGAAAAGCCAGGGCGAGGAGAACGTCGGGCGAGGCCAGACCGCGAGCCTCTCTGAGATCGGGCGGATCCGGAGGACGCCTCGGGCGCCGCGGCCTTCTCACAGCGAGGAGCACGTCGGGCGAGGACAGACCGAGAATCTTTACCAGCCTCGAACGTATCCCTATTCCTAAGATTGACACGCCAAAAGGCGATGACAATCTTAGGGTTCGCCCTCGAAAAGTAAGGGAATCCCTAGGATTGGCATCGTGATGAGGAGGTGCCCAGCATAGGGATAGCAATCTGCTCCAGGCTGGTAAAATCTATGAGATCGGGCGGACCCGGAGGACGTCTCGAGCGCCGCGGCCTTCTCACAGCGGCCCAGACCGCCCGGAGAGCGCTCTGGAACCCTCCGGAACGGACTCGTGCTCGTCTTGGCCCCGTCCGAGGGCGGCCTCGGGACGGGCCCCAGGGCTGCGGGACGGCCTCACGATGCGGCGAGGAGCTCAAACGAAGCGGCCGCCGCGACTTTTTGGCGCCGCCCGGAGTGAAGCAGGCCGTCTTCGTCGCCGTCCTCCGCCCCTCCGTCTCCGAGGAGGAGGACGGCGAGCGCCTCCCCGAGAGATCTCTCCGTGTCCGGGGCTGCGCGCTGGTCGCGACTTCGAGGCGGATCCAGTCTTGGCTTAGGTCGGGCATGTCCCCCTACAGGCGGATTCGGGACGCAAATGCAAAGAAGCATAATCGAAAAATCCTCCCCATACTATTTTTTGACAATTTTGGCAGATCCCTCCTGTAGATGGACGTGCCCGACTTAGACCCAAGCCCGTGTGTCATCCAGAGCTTGATTTTTGACGAACCGATGCCCGGCACCTGCCTCCAGGTGCCAAACGAGACGACAGATCGGCCGTCTCGATCTCTGTCTTCGGAGCATCGGATGCCTCGGCTTCGACTGAGAGGTCGTCGTCCCCGTCCTCCCCCTCCAAGCTCCGGCCGTGTCTTGCGTGAAAGGAACGGGCGCCGTGAGGGCAACGGGCCCTGGCTCTGCTCCCCCCGTCGCATGGCACCCGAGGCCACCTGCGGGCTCCACGGGCCAAGGGGCTGTCCCCCAAAACGACCCAGGATGAGGAAACCGATCCTGGGGAAAGCACAGGGCAATTTTTAATACATTGGATGTTTGAACATATATGATTTTAGTCATGATAAATATATTAGTAATTTAATGCTTGAACTCATAGTTGTTTTTAATACTAAATCCCGGCATTTTTAGTACATGATCCGCACGCGGAGCATGTATTAAAACGGCACTGTACTGGGGTGGAGTCCAGGGCCTGTTTTCCTCAGAATTCTTTCCTTCACGTCGACCTGTTCCCCCCCCCCGGGCGCGCGCCCCTGGAGCGCTGGGCAGCGACGGTGCTGCCGTGGACGACGAGGCCAGAGACCTGGGCGCGCTCTGCATGGTCGCCGTCGTAATTTTTGTTGCGCCACTTGGGTCATATAGAAGCTGGCTGGGATCGAACTGACATCAATGGTGCTTGAGCAACTCGGGTGGCATCCTGCCAACACCGCCGTGCCTGCGAACATGGAACCAATGATCTGGTTGGCACCGCGACGAGAGGCTACGAGAAACAGGAACATGATGACGCACACAAGCACGCACTGGCGCAAACACGCGCGGACATGCACACGCCTGGGGCCAACCCACACCAACACCACAAGACACGCGCACATCCGTTGCAACGTTCCCCGAAGCGCGGAAGCAAAAAGATGACTGGGCTCCACCCGCACACGGCCCCAGAGGCCCTCCAAAGGGGCCCCTGGTCCACGACCTGTGGACGGTGGCGGCTTGAGCCGAAGGCCACCGTTGACTGTACAACTGTGTGCATACATACGTATATTCACACTAGACAACACGGCGCGCTTGGCGCGCAATCCAGTCCCATCTGCATGGGGAGCCTGGAGCCTGGCGTATGCTGTGGGAGAGGGATGCTGCACGACAAGCCTGGAAATCCCACGCGGGCTTCACAGTCACAGGGGCCCCTGCGGCCGACAGGGCGACTGCTCTGGTCCGAGCGCGCGTGGCGTCCCCCTGGGGGTCCCAGTCCTAAAAAGTACCCCGAGCCGGTCGGGGTTGCGGATGCTGGAACCCCTGGGGGCGGTCCCCAGAGCCCCTAGGATCGCTCCACGAGCGCCCCGAGGGACCCGAAGGGAGCTACAAGAGGTCATTCCAGTTGGGATCCCTGGGTGGAAGGTTCCACGATGCCTCCGTACACCTCTCAAGGGCATCGAGATGGCCTCCAAATGGTCAAACACAGCTCCCAGAGGCCGCCAAGAGGCCAACAATTGTTCATCCGCTTACGCAGGTTGTTGACAGATCTTGGCGCCACTGCCTTTTCAGCTTTCCGACCCGCCCAGAACGGCCCATTCAGTCCCCAATATTGCCACAATTCAAGCCAAGACGCCCCCAGGACGGCCACGAGCCCAAAGACGGCCTTAGAGACCTCCCAAGAAGCCTCCCCCAACCCCCAGGAAGGTTCGAAGAGGGCCCGAACTAAATTTCGCACCCTTTCTCGACATATGACCCCTCACACCGTCACAAAAGCCCCCAACAGGGCCCCAAGAGAGGGCCCACAAGAGGCCCCCCGAGACCCCCGAGACCTCCCCCAAGAGGCCCCCCAACTGCCCTTACCTGGCTCCCCAAATGCCCCCGCGAGCACGCAAGCAAGTGCCAACGATGCTACAGTGAGCCCCCGACAGGCTCCCAAGACGGCCCAAGAGGGCCTCAAGGGGAGTTCAAGAGCGGCCCAAAAAGGGAGGCACGAACACCCATTTCGAGTCTCCTGCCCCGATGCACACGAGACTGGTGTCGCACCACTTCGAGGAAACGACCACCACCCATGAGCGCTGCAACGAGAACGGACACGCGGGCCTCCGCCCGCGATGGAACAGCCTGGGACGGCGGCGTGGGCGAAACGCTGACAATCGGTGGGCCCTCTGCGGGCCCTGGCCGTGCTGTAACCTCGGAGGGCACAGCCAGCCCGTATCACGAGGATGCGCGATACGGATGCAAGGGCCTTGGAAGCCCATCCCGAAGCTTTTCGAGCGGGGCGCGGCCAACGGAAGTGGCCAAGGATGGACCGAGGAGGCAAGGGTGCAAGGGTACCCTTGGGAAGGTTGCCCATCCTTACTATGCGGGTTCACTGCAGACGATGAAAAAAAGGAGGATGACTGGAGGAGGATGACATGGCATGCATAGCAGGAATGAGAAGAGCGGTGTCGCGCCTTCCGCAGGGCAGCCGCAGCTCTTTTTCTTCCATTTCTTGCACGTAACAATGCGTGTGATCTGCGCTGCCAGGCTCCTGGTGCACGTGAAAATGCAAGCGCATAGAAAAGTCACCTGGGAAGTTCCCAACCCTCCTGCGTTGGGTTCTCGTTTTGAATAGAGCACTGCTCGCGCGAACATTCCTTCCCACCCCCTCCCGTCCCTCTCTTCCCCTCTGCCTTTGACCTCGCCGTCCCTGGGGGGCTGCGATCTGCGAAACTGTCGCCACTTTCGAGGGCTGCTGGGGAGGCCAGCAGAGAAGGCACTCACCGCGGATCCAAACGGAACCTCTCCGCTTTTGGGGGGCTGCGATCTGCGAAACTGTCGCCGTTTTCGAGTGCTGCTGAGGAGGCCAACAGAGAGGGTACTCACCGCGGACCCAAACGGGACCTCGCCGTCCCTGGGGGGCTGCGATCTGTGAAACTGTCGCCACTTTCGAGGGCTGCTGGGGAGGCCAGCAGAAAGGGGACCCACCGCGGATCCAAACGGGACCTCGCCGCCCCTGGGGGGCTGCGATCTGCGAAACAGTCGCCACTTTCGAGGGCTGCTGGGGAGGCCAACAGAGAGGGCACTCACAGCGGATCCAAAGGGGACCTCGCCGTCCCTGGGGGGCTGCAATCTGTGAACCTGTCGCCACTTTCGAGGGCTGCTGGGGAGGCCAGCAGAGAGGGTACCCACCGCGGACCCAAACTGTACCTCGCCGTCCCTGGGGGGCTGCGATCTGCGAAACAGTCGCCACTTTCGAGGGCTGCTGGGGAGGCCAGCAAAGAGGGTACTCACCGCGGATCCAAACGGGACCTCGCCGTCCCTGGGATTCTGCAATCTGCGAAACTGTCGCCACTTGCGAGGGCTGCTGGGGAGGCCAGCGGCGAGGGTACCCACCGCGGACCCAAACAGGACCTCGCCGTCCCTGGGGGGATGCGATCTGCGAAACTGTCGCCACTTTCGAGGGCTGCTGGAGGCCAACAGAGAGGGTACCCACCGCGGACCCAAACGGTACTTCGCCGTCCCTGGGGGGATGCGATCTGCGAAACTGTCGCCACTTTCGAGGGCTGCTGGGGAGGCCAGCAGAGAGGGTACCCACCGCGGGCCCAAACGAGACCTCGCCGCCCCTGGGGGCTGCGATCTGCGAAAGTGCCGCCACTTTCGGGAGCTGCTGGTGGGTCCTGCGGAGTGAGGCGCCGCGCGGACCTGAGAGGGACCTCGCCGTCCCTGGGGGGCTGCGATCTGCGAGACTGTCGCCACTTGCGAGGGCTGCTGGTGGGCCCTGCGGGGTGAGGCACCGCGCTGACCTGAGCGGGACCTCGCCGCCCATGGGGGGCTGCGATCTGCAAAATTGTCGCCACTCTCGAGGGCTGCTAGTGGGTCCTGCAGAAAGAATCACCGCGCGGACCTGAGCGGGACCTCGCCGTCCCTGGGGGGCTGCGATCTGCGAGACTGTCGCCACGTTCGGGGGCTGCTGGTGGGTCCTGCAGAGTGAGGCACCGCGCGAACATGAGCGGGACCTCGCCGCCCCTGGGGGGCTGCGATCTGCGAAACCGTCGCCACTTTCGAGGGCTGTTGAGGGGCACAGCACAAGGGGTACTCACCGCAGACTCAGATTAGACCTCGCCATCCCTGGGGGGCTGCGATCTGTGAAACTGTCGCCACTTTCGAGGGCTGCTGAAGGGGCCCAGCACAGTGGGTACTCACCGCAGACTCAGACTAGACCTTGCCATCCCTGGGGGGCTGCGATCTGCGAAACGGTCGCCAATTTCGAGGGCCGCAGGCTCAGATTTGACCTTGTCATCCCTGGGGGGCTGCGATCTGTGAAACTGTCGCCACGTTCGAGGGCTGCTGAGGGGGCCCAGCACAGTGGCTATTTACCGTAGACTCAGATTAGACCTTGCCATCCTTGGGGGGCTGCGGTCTGTGAAGCTGTCGCCACTTTCGAGGGCTGCTGAGGGGTACAGCATAGTGGGCACTCACCGCAGACTCAGATTAGCCCTTGCCATCCCTGGGGGGCTGCGATCTGTGAAACTGTCGCCACGTTCGAGGGCTGCTGAGGGGCACAGCACACTGGGTACTCACCGCAGACTCAGATTAGACCTTGCCATCCTTGGGGGGCTGCGATCTGTGAAACCGTCGCCACTTCCGAGGGCTGTTGATGGGGCACAGCACAGTGGGTACTCACCGCAGACTCAGATTAGACCTTGCCATCCCTGGGGGGCTGCGGTCTGTGAAACTGTCGCCACTTTCGAGGGCTGCTGAGGGGCCCAGCACAGTGGGCGTCCCGCACGTCGTTCTCTTGCTCTTCGTTCCCGGCTCCCCATGTCCTCTTCGAGCCTGTAGTTGTCGCCCCTCGTTCTTGTATGGTTCTCCTGCGCATTATGCCATAGGCGCGTGTCCCAAGTAGCTTACATATCAAACAACGGATCCTGCAATTTGATGGTCCATGCAAGTTTCGGCCAACTCCTCGTTTCCCATGGTACAAATGGGTTGGGTACGTCACAGGGTATTTTTTTTCGTCGGCGGCGAGGCAGAAGAAATCTGCTCCACCGTGTGGCTAGTCGAAGTAACCGCAAGTGGAATTGGCCGACGTTCACGACGGGGAAACAAGACTTGAGGCTCCTGGGAGACGTGAGCTACAAATCATGGGCACTTGCGACTCTTCTGAAAAACGTGCAGAAATGCTTCGCTCGGGACATCCTCGACACCTCGGCTTCGGAGGGGACCCTGAATCTCAGACAACGTAGTTTCGCTAAGGGCATCCACAACAACTCGGCTTCGGAGAGGACTCTGTACTAAAGCAATCGCAGTTCCGCTACGGACTGCCTCGACAAAGAAGCCTCGGGAGGGACTCCAAGTCTCAACTTTGACCGTTTCGCTAGACACTTCCTCGACAATCCGCCTTGGAGGGCTCTTTGAACATCAACCTCCCCCGCGACGCCAACATGGCAACAATTGGTACCGACCCTCGCCGAGGCAATATCCCTGACGCCTACAGATTGCAACATCTGCGTGCACACTTCACCTGGGGCCAGCCGTATCTCCTGCTCTGCAGGCTCAATTCGGCGGGCCCTCTGCGAGCCCTCGCCGCGTTAAGCGTCGAATGCAGATGATGAGAGGGAGGAGGATGGAGGAGAGGTAGAAGCGTGCATAGGGAATGTTAAGAGGGGCGTTGCGCATTCCGCTGGCCCGAAGCGGCCCGAACTGGACAGCCGCACCTCCATTCTCCCTTCGGCGGTGGACAAACCTCCCTTTAGTAAACCTCCCCTTAGTGAAAACGGCCTGGGACCGAAACCAACGGGCCTGGACCCGCAAAAATGACGGCCGCGACGCTCTCTCGCGAACCGAAAACGGCCAATTCCTTAATCGACGTGTCAGGGTAGGAGGTCTGTCCACCTCCGATCCTTCTGACATGTGAAGCTATGAATGATCCGCGCTCTCAGGCTTCTGGGCCACGTGAAAACACGAATGATCGGCGCTCCCAGGGCCACGAAAGCTTCTGTATTCAGTGCGCCTCCCACACGCTTCCTGCCCCGTGTTCTCTCATGGGACAACAGAAAAAAAAAACGAGCGATGTGCGAGTCGAGGGCCACGAGGGGCTCCATCCTGGACACCCCTCGTGCACGTCCTGCTCCGCACCCAGCTGGGACGCGTGAAAGTGCGAACGGTCTGCTCTCTCTGTCTCCCGAGGCACGTGGGCCCCCACGGGACGCCATCATGGTCCCACGACGCACGGCAACGCGTGGTACGGACACTCGTCGAAACAGCATCCCTAACACCCAATGGTCGTAAAATCTGCGTCCAAGGTTCCCCCTGGGGGCCCGTCGCGACCTCCGCTCTGAGGGCTCAAGAAGCGTCCATGGCCTCACCCGACGCAGATGCCTTGAGCCAAGACTGGCTTCTGCCCGGACCCCGACACCCGCACCTAGATGGGCTGAACCCCCCCCCCCACACATACACACACACACACGCACACACACACACACACGCACACACACACGCACACACACACACACCCGCACACCCGACACACACACACACACACACACACAGAGACACACAGAGACACACAGAGACACACAGAGACACACAGAGACACACAGAGACACACAGAGACACACAGAGACACACAGAGACACACAGAGACACACAGAGACGCACAGAGACACACAGAGACACACAGAGGCACACAGAGACACACAGAGACACACAGAGACACACACAGAGACACACACACAGACACACACAGAGACACACAGAGACACACAGAGGCACACAGAGACACACAGAGGCACACAGAGACACACACACACACACACTGGGCGCTTCGATTTGTTCGATGCGTGTGCCCCTGGACCTGGAGAGAAAAATAGAGAAAGAGAGAGAGCGAGAGAGATGCAACGAGAGAGAGAGAGAGAGAGAAAGAGTGAGACGGAGAGAGACAGAAAGAGAGATCGGTTACACGCAAGAGTAAACCTGGGTAAGAGTGACCTTTGGTGCGCGGCTTTTTAGGGCTCGAGAGGGGACCAAACTTGGGCGCGCAAGCCGCTGCTCCTTGCTTCTCTCTTTCTCGCTCTCTTTCTCCTCTCACTCCCCCGGCCCCGCGATTTTTTCCAAGCGTCGGCGCTCGGGAGTCTCGACCCCTTACCTGGGGCGTGTAGTACGGGGGGGCGATCAACGAGGGAGGGGGCGGGGGGCAGAAGCGGCAACTGTTCATGCCCGTTTGGGCCCCCGGGGGGCTCCTTTAGGGCCCCTTCAGGGGGGCTTGGTGCATTCGTCACCCCCCCATTCATCGCCCCCGCATTACCCCACGATCTTGAGCAGGGACCGGCCGTCCCGGCATTCCCATAGGCCTACGCTGGAGTCCCTTCCCTGTCGTCAAGGCCCAGCTTCGAGCCTCCGAGGAGGGGGAGGGGGACGTCATGTACCCAAACCACCGTTGAGACTTGATTGTGCCGTGCACCGAGACACCCTTCATGGACGCGCCCTTCGCCTCCAGAAAGACGAGGAAACACTGAGCAGCGTCTGACCGATCCCTCTCCCCCCACTGGCGTGGCCTTGGCCTCACTGGCCGACCTATTTGAAGGGGCCCCAGGACACACAAATAAATACACACAAATAAAAAGATTCCCAATATTTTCGTATATTTTCTGGGTTTCTGTCTTCCCCCCACTTCCCATATTTTCCTATATTTTCCTGGGGATCGACGATTCATTGTGTCTGTGTGGTTTTTCCCCTCCTGACTATTACCCAGGTGGGCCTGCTCCGCCGGGCTTCACGGGGCCTACTCCCACCTGGGGTGGGACGGGCCGGTGGGGCTGAGATTCCATTGCCCAGTGGGGATGGGGATGGGCTAGACAGGTCGGGGGCGCGCAGACATGGACTGGCGATCCATGGCTTTGGCGCGCGGCCACCAAATCCATCTGCATCGGGGGAGGCGACCCCTCCTCAGAATGCGGCCGGCGCCGCCTCTCGTTCGGCGGCGGAAGGCCGCGATTTCTCCCGTGGGAAGCGGGGCCCGTCGCTATAAGACAGGCCCCCTTAATCCATGTTTAGTGTTTGCGATCGCCTGAAACACTGCCGAGGTACAGCTCCCGCCCTGCCTCTCCCCCGCCCCTCCTCCACGCTCCGCTCGGCGGCAAGCCGGGCGGCGACGGGGCGGTAGGGGGGGGAAGCCTGGAGCTCCCAGGCAGCAGCGTCGCAGCCGTCCCACCAGCGGGAGCGCTCTGCCAGCTCCTCCGCCGCAGCTCGGGTGTTGGCAAGGTTTACAGTGCCGTTTTTAATCCATGCTCCGCGTGCGGATCATGTATTAAACATGCAGGGATTTAATATTCAAAACAACGAGGAGTTCATGCATGCATTTATTCACAAATCAGTCATGTATTAAACATTCTATATGTTTAAAAATCCTATGTATTAAAAACTGCCCTGTAGCGGGACCTCGTTTCGTGATCTGCACTGGGGGGCGCCCCTCCTGCCCCATTCCCCCAACCGGAACTGCCGTCGCCTGGAAAAAAACACCAGCTGCGGCGGGCCTGGGGTAGTGATTCCGGCCAATTTCGGGGGGCTTCGGGGCCCAGTCTCGAACCGGCTCCACTGAAACCAGGGCCTGGCTATGTCCGAACAGCGAGGGCAGGGAGTCGGGAGACGCCAACCCAGACCTCCGACGTAATGTTTTTTATAACGTCGACCCCCAGAGGTCTCGACCCATTCCCCAAGACCGGCGTTTCATCCAGAGTCGTCTTTTGACGGTCCCGAGGCCCAGTAGGGGCCTCAGAAGCCGAAAATAGCAAAAAAACCTCCCGTCGCGATTTTTCACGATGCGAGGGGGTCTGAGCCTTGGAAGTGACCGTCTCACCAGTCCTCTGTGGACTCAGGGTCGGTGCATGCTCTTGCTCGGCCAAGGAGGCCTCGGATCCGGGCTGGGCCAGGCCTGGCTCGGTGAGGTGGGCAACTGACGTTCCCCGAGGGAGGTGGCGCCCAGGTGGGCGGCGATCGAAAACGGGTCTCACGCGAGATGACACAGCGACCTGACGCGGTGGCTTACGCGGTCCGCTCGCGCGGCACGCCACACTTGAAGCGAGGGAGCTCATGCGCGACCTTACGCGTGCAGCTTGCGCGCCAATGTCGGCGCAGACGACCTCGTTCTTTCGGCTTCGCTCAGGTGCCTGGGGGGACGAACCCCATGAGAGGTCTGGGGGGCAATCTTTGCGGGGGGGGGGGGGGGGGCCAGACCCCACAAAGCTTCCTGAGCAACTACCACGACGCGATTTGCTAGAATCTGCAGGGTCCACGGCCAATTTTCGGGCCCTGGCTGTCCAAAAGGTCCTGGCCGAAACACAGCTTCCCGCTCTGGGGCCCACGTGTTGACAGAATCAACAAATCATTGTGAAGGGGGGGGGAAGGGGGCCCCCAAGAGGTTTTTGAGGGACTTCTTGGGGCCCTGGGAGGCTTCAGGCAATTCTAATCGGCGGTTCTTGGCTGCTCTTCGATGTTCTGGAGTGGGGGAAGGGATGAAAAGGAGGAGGAGGAGGAGGAGGAGGAGGAGGAGGAGGAGGAGGAGGAGGAGGAGAGGAGCAGGAGCAGGAGGAGGAGGAGCGATCGTCTCGGGAGGACCGCGTGTTCTCCCACCAGCTACTCAGGCACAAGGCGCCGCGGCCGCGGCGGTGCCCGCCACTCATCGCCTGGCGGGCGACCGTGGCCTGGGAGTCGGAGCCGAGGTTGTACGTGCCCTCGAAGTCGCCGATGTACTCGGTGCCGACGTGCCGTTTGCCAGGAGCGTCGGCAGGATGTAGCGTGGGGGCGCCCATGGTCACGTCGTCCGAGCCGATGGGGGGTCCACCTCGAACAGCGCGCCGCACAGTGCACGCGTGATGTCGTCATCGGCGCTCTGCAATTGGCACCGTCCGATGAAACCGGGGTGCCCTCGGTCGGGCGGGGGCTAAAACCCCGCTCCCGAGCCGTGCTCGTGCAGGGGCTGAATGCATGTGATGTTGTGGTTAGCGCCATGTCCTGGTCGCCCACCAGCAGTGACCTCCGCACGATCACAGCCCATCGCATGAGCAAGTCCTCCGTGGTGGGGACGGAGTGATCTCGGGAGATGCTCCCGCTTCCGACGCGTGTCCCTGGCTCCCAGCTCAAGGAAATGGGTGCCCACGACCTCCGACAACGACCTTCGCCTCGCCGCCGAATCCTTCGGCTGGAGGAGGAGGAGGAGGAAGAGGAGGAGGAGGAGGAGGAGGAGGAGGAGGAGGAGGAACAGACGGGTGAGGAGGAGGAGGAGGAGGAGGAGGAGGAGGAGGCGGGGAGGGAGGAGGAGGAGGAGGGGGCGGAGGCGGAGGCGGAGGAGGAGGAGGAGGGAGGAGGAGGAGGAGGAGGAGGAGGGGGAGGAGGGAGGAGGAGGAGGAGGGAGGAGGAGGAGGAGGAGGATGAGGAGGAGAGGAAGGAGGACGACGACGACGACGACGACGATCAACCTCTCTGGGCGACGACCTCGGGCGGAGGGCGGCCGAGGAGGGAGGCCCGGGCTCCTCCCGGCGGGGCCGTCGCAGTCGAGGACCGCCGGCCTCGTCGGCCCGCGAGCAGGGGGGGGAGAGAGCGGGGGGCGCAGGCGAGGGCGGCGGCGAGGACCTCTTGCTTGGGGGGGGGGGGGGGAGGGGGAGGGGGAGGGGGAGGGAGGAGGGGAGGGGGAGGAGAGGAGGAGGAGGAGGGAGGAGGAGAGGAGGGGAGGAGGAGGAGGAGGAGGAGGAGGAGGAGGAAGAGGAGGAGGAGGAGGAGAGGAGGAGGAGGAGGAGGAGGAGGAGGAGGAAGAGGAGGACCCCGCCCTCGCTCCTCTCCGTCCCCGCCCGCTTCCCTCCCCCCTCTGCTGGCCCTTTCACATGCTCACGGCCCTGGAGATGGCTCACCGTGTCCCTCGTCGCAGATCCCGAGGGTGGCCAAACCCTGCCGGACGAAACAGCCCACAGCACTCGACTCGGGAATCGGCCACAGAATTGATCTGCCCCAGCATTGCTTTTTCGCGTCGGCACACCACGAGGCAGAAAACCCCGCCTGAGACGTTGCAAAATTCCCCGGAACGCCCCAGGGGCCATTACGAAACCTGCGACTCCTCCCCCCTCCCCCTCCTCCTCTCCTCCCCCTTCCTCCTCCTCCTCCTCCTCCTCCCTCCTCCTCCTCCTCCTCCTCCTCCTCCTCCTCCTCCTCCTCCTCCTCCTCCCCCTCCCCCTCCTGAGCCGCCGTACGCCGTGCTGCACGGCCCGCGGCGCCTGCTGGGCGGCAGCCAGGCCCCCTGCGTGGCGCGCGGCCTCCGCGCTGCATGCCGCTGGACGGCGGCCGCGGTTCCTGGATGACCGCTCCTGCTGGGCGTGGCGGGCGGGGTGGCGGCGTGCGCCCTGTTGCAACAGCGGGGCATGGCGCGGTGCCGCACGAGCCCAAGCTGGGCCTCGCCGAGGCTCGGCCGTGGCGAAGCGCGCGCCGCACGCCGACTCCTCTGCCCGCGCCTGCGCTGGCTCGCTGGCGGCGGCTGGCTGGGGCTTCGATTCGGGACCGCTCGTGTACATAGTCGAGCACTCGCTGGTGCTCGTGGCGGCGGACTCCGTCGCGTGGCTCGTCGAGGAGTTGTTGCTCTTCGTCTACGGGGTCGGCGTGGTCGGCCTCGTGGCCGGGGGCCCTGCAATGCCAGGGCCCCCGTTCCGGAAAGCCGTGGACTGCAACTCGTTCACGGTCGGGGGGTCTGGCTCCTCAGGTGGAGACCAGGCCCCCCGCGGCGGGAGGCGGTCGACCCCGCTCTCCTGAGGCTCGTGCATCCTCCCTCCTCCTCCTCCTCCTCCTCCTCCTCCTCCTCCTCCTCCTCCTCCTCCTCCTCCTCCTCCTCCTCCTCCTCCTCCTCCCCTATGACGACCGAGAGCCCGCAGCACGCCCGCCGACGGGCCGTGAGCGCGGGCGGCGCGGGAGGCGCGGCGCGCAGGGAGGCCCCCGCCTGCCCGGCGGGGGGCGGCCGCCTCGGCGGGCGAGCGCCCCGGCGGCGAGTTGGCGCCGCCGTCGGCGCCGTGGGCGTCGTCGGCGCCGTCGTCGGCGTCGGCGTCGGCGGCGTCGGCGTCGAAGGGGGGAGGGGGTAGGAGGGAGGAGGAGGGAGGAGGGAGGTGGGAAGAGGAGGAGGGAGGAGGATGAGGATGACGAGGATGAGGGGAAGGAAGATGAGGAGGAGGGCACTGGGGGGCACCACGCACACCATGTGTAAAGGGGCCCTAGGACACACAATCGAATACACACACACACATCCCAGGATTCACCATATGTTTTGTCCAGATTTTCTGGACTTTCGTATTCCCCCCATTGTCTATCTGTTCCCTCGTTGTTCGGGGAAGCGAAGATTCATTGTGCCTGTATGTGTTTTTCCCCTCGTGAATGGTGGGCCGCCCGTGCAGTGCCCCCCGTTTTGGGGGGCAGCGATAGGGGGGACTGGCATCGGGGGGATGCATCGACCTCCAAGACCTCCAAGATAGGGGACGACCTCAAGACCTCCAAGATGCCACGACGATCCACGAGATCCGCGCGCGGAGCGCCAGAGGCTTATGCTTATACCGTTTGCTCCTCTTCGATGGAGGCCCCCTCGGCCTACTCCTCGGGCCAGGGGCACCTTCGGAATCGGCGATACATTCATTGCCGATAGATCGGCGATAAGCGCCCGATAGCGAATCCGCACCTTCCTGTGCAGGTGGGGGCCATCGGGCCCCTATCGGCGATCAGTGAGCGATGGGGGGTCGATGCGTCACGCCCTTATGTCTACCCCCCCCCATTATCGTTGCCCCTGACTTTTGGGGGGCATTGAATGTTCGGCCGTCTTGGAGCCTCGTGGAAACGTGCTGGAGGGGCCGTCTGGGAAGCAGTTTCTGGGCCGTGGCAAGTCGGACCCCTGGCTTGTCTCAGGGTGAGATCTGATCAGAGCTGCAATGCTAGCCGTAGGTCGGGCATGTCCCCCTGCAGGCGGATTACGGAGGACATACAAGATAAGTCAACACAACAATCTCGCACATCAAAAATAGAGCAACCGTCCCCGGCTATTTTTCACCGAGCTTGAACCTTCATCCTGTAGAGGGGCATGCCGGACTAGATACCAGCCCGTGGACGGCCAGGAGCGCGTCAAGACCTCGACGCTCGACCACAGGGCACACGCACTCTGCGCGAGGGGGGCCGCGAAGCGGCGGCGGCGGCGGCGGCCCCGACGACCTCAAGACCTCCAAGATGCCACGACGATCCACGAGGTCCGCGTGCGGAGCGCCAGAGGCTTATGCTTATGCCGCTTGCTCCTCTTCGATGGAGGCCCCCTCGGCCTACTCCTCGGGCCAGGGGCACCTTCGGAGACGCCCGACAGAGGGGGGGCCGGCTCCAGGGAGGAAGCATCGGGCTGGAATCGGAGAGGGATCGCCAGGAGATCGGCCACAGGCCCCGATCGCGAGTCTGCGCTTTCCTGGGCGGGGCGGGCTATCAAGCCCCCATATCTCGGCGGTGGACAAACCTCCCTTTCGTGGAAACGGCCTGGGACCGAAACCGACGGACCTGGGCCCGCAAAAATGACGGCCGCGACGCCCTCTCGCCAACCGAAAACGGCCAATTCGCTAATCGACTTGTCAGGGTGGGAGGTCTATCAACCTCCGAATATCGGCGATCCATGGTCGATTGGGGGTCGATGAATTCCCCCTGGAGTCATTCCCCCCCCCCCGAACGTTGCCCCTCAAAGAAGGCCCCTAATGGGCCCCACGAGGGTCATGACGGCACGAGGGAGCGCGATGGCCCAAGAGGGAGTGGCGCCTGGGGCATGAGTGATCTCTGGTGCTGGGGAGACCGCTGTGGGCCCGCACCGAAGGCCACCCCGGCGAAGGGTCACTCTTGCGTGCTGCTGAACACCCTCATCCCGCCCCTAACGCTGCCCCCCTCAAAATCCGACGTCCTGACTTTTTCACCACGGGGATATCCTGGAAGCCCGGAAGACCCGACCCTCTCCCCAGGGCCGGCTCTTCCTCCTGGGATCCTAGGGCCCGGCGAGGGCCTCCAGACGCCGAACACAGCGAAGACACGCCGTCTTGATTTGCTCATCCCAGAGATCCAACGCCCTGACTTTTTCAATACGGGGTCCCCAGAAGTCTCGACCACTTCCCCCGGCCCGGTTTCTCATCCTGAATCGTCTTTCGGGGACCTTCTGACCCGGGTCAATCCAGACCCGGGTCAGCAGGAAGACAAAAACTGCAATGCAGGAAGACAAAAACTGCAACGCAGGTCTTCGCAGACCCGGGTCAGCCCATGTGCGCAGCCGCCTCGCGGCCACGAGCGCCTCGCCAACCCGGGTCAGCCAGAGGGGGTCTTCGCAGGATCCTGCAGGATCCGGTGCCCTGGCTGACCCCCGTTTGCGTTGACCCCCGTCTCGAGGCTCCCGAGTCTTGTGTCGGCCCTGGGGCCCGGCGAGGACCCCCAGAGGCCGAACGCTGCGACACACCTCCGCCTTGATCTTTCCAATGCGTCGGATCTCTGGGCCTGCGAGCGGCGGCGTAAGGCACCGAGCCGGCCGAGCGGCGGTGCCGGCGGGGCCGGGCCGGCCGACAGCAGGGCGGCGGCGCCCCCCGAGCCGGGCCGAGCACGGCGCCGGCGCAGCTCGGCGCGCCGGCGAAGGGGCCTCCGAGAGGCGAGGAGCCTCTGGGCGCGGAGCGGGCATCCTCCTCCCCGAGGCGGAGGAGGAGGAGGAGGAGGAGGAGGAGGAGGAGGAGGAGGAGGAGGAGGAGGAGGAGGAGGAGGAGGAGGAGGAGGAGGAGAAGCCCATTTGGCCTCTGGCGGGCCCGCGGATCTCGATCGATCCATCGGGGTCGGTCGCGCCTGCCGCCCGATCGATCGCGGTGGCAGGGCGCATCGCGCATTGGCCAGCCCGCGAGGCCGGGCTCACGCGCGCCGCGCGCCATCATCTGCGGCAGGGGGCCATCTCTGCCTCCCTGCTCCGTGCCGCAGACCGCGGCGCCAGCGGCCGCGCTGCGGCCTCCCCCCCGCGGCGGGACGCCGCGACAGGGCCGAGGCGGAGCTCCTGAGGGGGCTGCCCACCGGCGAGAGCGAGACAAGCGCGCCCACGCGCGGCTGCTGCTGCCGCTGGCGCAGGCGCAGGTGACGCTGGCCAGCCACCACTCGGCGCAGCAGCACCAGCGCAACCAGCAGCACCAGTACAACTAGCAACACCAGCGTTAGCAGCAGCAGCCCCCAGCAGCAGCGCCAGGATCACCTCCAGCGGACCTCTTGTTCTCGCTGGCATTTACCAGACCAATCGGCATCAGAGAGGTGATGACACGGGCATACCTCGGCATCCACCTTGACGAGCACATTGACACAGAGAAGGCCACCGCATATATAGAGGGCGCTCACGTGCCACAAGACATGGACGACATCACATACGCGGACGACACGACCTTCTCCACGTCAGCCAGGGACATGTCCCAACTGCTGGTCAAGATGCAGACCCTGGGTGACATCGTCTACGAGGCTTTCAAGACGCATGCGATGGACATCAACCTCGGCCCAGCCAAGACAGCCTATCTAGTGACGGCGCACGGGCCCCAGTCGCAATGCATCCGCAACCACCTCTACGGAGACAGCGCGAAGGTTGTTACCACCTTGGACATCGGCATCGACGTCGTCTACATCTACAAGCACATGGGCACGATGGTTTGCAGTGATGGAGCGTGGGGCCCAGAGGTCCAACACAGGATTCAGGCACATCGGCAAGCGCTCGACCCCATCAAGAGATCAGTCATCAAGTACGCACGCGCCGAGCCAGAAAAACTTGCCAAGTACGTGGATGCGCTCACCAATGTCAGGCTGACCTACCAGGCGGAGCTGTGGAGTGGGATGAGCATCAGCGACAAAAAGAGACTGCAGGCGGCTCATGCCAAGGGCTACCGGGCTGCCGCCTCAGCCGGGTACAATCGGGAGGCGTCCGAACAGATCCCAGACAGCAAGGTATACTACGGCCATAAGGGCCGACCTGTCTGCGGTGGTATCGGCTCGCAAGCTTAGATACTTCAGCACGGTGATCCGTCACGGGCCCGCCACACTCAAGTACTTGGTGGAGATTGGCTTGCAGCATGGCGACACGTGGCACCAAGAGCTCATCAACGACCTGCGTTGGGTGAAGAGATACCACGGTGGCGCGGGCCTGCCTGACCCTGAATACCTACCAGGATGGGTCACACTATGCAAGAGTGAGCCCAAGGCAATGGCGAAGGTAGTGCGCAAAACATTCGAGCAATATAAGAGGACTTTGGTGGAGAAGTGCAAGCACGACATTTGGAGACGCAGCAGAACCGTATAGGAGCATCCACAGGAACGGTGCCAAGAAAGCCACGACCACCATCGGGACATCGACGCCGTCACCAGCGCCAGCATCGAGCAAAAGAAAATCTACGTATGCTACGATTGCGAGGAAGTCTTCTCCACCGAGGCCAGCATGCGTGCCCACAGGACAAAGGCCCACCTCCCTCACTTCGACGCACAGAGGTTTGCCGTGGGCAGTGTGTGCAAGGCGTGTGGGACGGACTTTCGCACTCGAATACGTCTTGTGCGACACCTCCGACACCGCGCCACAGGCTGCATGGAGCACTACATCGACAACGAAGACACCCTACCCGTGGACACGGTGAGGCAGCTCATCGAGGAGGACGTCACGTTTACGAAGCAGCTGCGCGGCGAGGGATTCAGGGAGGATAATGCCACGAGGCCTGCACTACGACAAGCACATCAGCCCGCTCCACGTCGGCCGCCTCTCCGCCCACGCGAGCAGCTGCCCGAAGTGTCGTCGTGAGCTCCCCGAGAGCCGACGCTCGACCATCATCTACACAGCGGTACGATTTGTACAACCCACGGGGGACTCACACCAGCAGCAGCGCGGACGTGGCATGGATTGTTGACGGCGGCCAGCATTTCCAGAACAGCAGGGACCGAGCCAGAGTGGACCTCGAAAGTCGGGGCACCGAGTACTTCGAGACGAACTTTGATGACGACGACCTCAACTTGGACACCCGCCTCGTGACGAGAGGCAACTGGCACAGGACTGCTGCAGGATGTAGCGAGATGATCGTCTTCCCCAGGGCCTCCACCTGGGAATGCGACCGAAGAGACCTGGTCCACAGGTCGTGCGTCGACCCATGGTGCCCGCGCCAAGCCACGGAAGCCAAGGCACGGGCGGTCAGCCGCGACAACGACGCCGTGAGGGTGGCCCTGGACCTGGTAGAGGCTGCCTGGCGGAGGCGCCAGGCCGCCACGCTGCACCTCACCGAGGGCATGCTGGAGGCGCCCGAGGTGAAGAGGCTCATCCAGGAACCGCCTGGACGCCAGACCACCAGGGAGCCCACCGGCGTGGTGGTCGTCCGCGGCGGGCAGCCTGCGGCAGCGGCAGGCGACGCTGCAGGAGGCGCTGGAGGAGACGCTCCTGGAGCAGCGGGGCTGCCTGGGCCGAGTTGGCGGCGGCGCCGCGGCGCCCTGCTGCCCTTTGGCGGACCTCGAGCGCGCCTGCAAGGTGCTGAGAGCACGCCCCGCCCGCGGTAAGGATTTCTTGGGTAGTGTGTGCCCCCCCCCGTGTTCCTCTCCTGTTCGTTCGAGGTTGCGTTCTCTTTTCTCTCTTGTTTTTCCTGTTGCTCGGGGGGGAGGGGCACAGTCCCAAGTTGAAGGCTGCCGACCTCAACCTGGGCAGTGCTGGCCCCAGCATGGCGCCGCCCAACCAACAGGATCTCGGCTGGGCAACAGGGCGGCGCTGGCGCCCGTGCTGGGCGGCGATGTGCTGGGCCAGCCTTTTTCGGTGCCTGGAGGCTTCCTGAGGCCTCCTGAGGCTTCCTGAGGCCTCGTCCCCTCTCGTGCCCCCCCCGAAGAGGCACCTCCCTCCCTCCTCCTCCTCGTGGCCTATGGAATGCCCTTTTTACTTGGCTTTGGGCCCCGCCCCGTTCCTCTCCTCTGAGGCCCTCTGAAAGCGTCCTTCCTCCTCTCTGGGTGGCGGGGTCTTGGCCTCTAAATGCCGTGGCGGCGGACGCGCGGCGCGGCGCGGGCGCCGCGCGGGTGGACGCGGGAGGACTCCGCGGGCCTGCGCCCCCCTTGGGGAGCACGAGAGAGGAAGAGAAAGAGAGAGAGAGAGAGAGAGGAGGAGGAGGAGGAGGACGACAAGGAGAAGGAGGAGGAGGAGGAGGACGAGGAGGAGGAGGAGGAGGAGGAGGCTGGAGCAGGGGAGCGGGAGGAGGAGGCGGCGGAGGAGGAGGAGGAGGAGGAGGAGGAGGAGCGTGGGTGTCCCTACTCCCTCCCTGCCCCTTCTCTCCATCCTCCCTCCCTCCACCCTCCCTCCTTGCTGCCCGCTCACGGCACTTGGGCTCGAGCAAGCGCCTCGGTTGGATCGAGACCAAGCCTCGTGTTTGCACGTGGTTCTTGGGGGGGCACCGGGTCTGCCGCAATTTGTTTGTGTTGTCGATCTCGGTGTCGGAAGGCATGGTTCTTTGTACTTCGACTTTGTTTCATTCGACAGGGCGCTGGTACACTGCAAGATTGGGATCGGTCGCGTTCTTTCCTGCTTCATCACGAAGTGGGCTGGTGGTTGGAGTTCGTGTTTCTCAGCTTGTTCAAGTTGCTACTGGTTTGTCGGTTGTGGTTGGGCGTTCGGTGTATTTCAAGGTGTTAGTCTTTTGGCTCGCTGTTGCGGTACACCTTACGGCCCATCTTCACCCACACGCTTGGGAATCAGGTGTCTGTTCTTGCAAAGAAGAAGATGGAACCACATCAGTCTTAAGCCCTTCTCCCTGTGCATCGCGTCTTTCAACCCCGTTCTGCGCGAATTCCCCATGGCCGTTCTTGGTTGGAGTGGTGGTGCAAGGCCTCTTTCAAATGCGGCTCGTCGGCATAATCTCGGCTGCAATGTCGTTATGGCTCGTTTTTGTTTGTCAATTCGGCGCCGGGATCTTTGCTGTATGCATTCCGCTTGGGTTTGGCAAAAAGGATTTGCAATCTCGTGTGTGGTGAACGTACGGGAGGCAGTGGCTGCATGACCGTCATACCCGCGCGGCGTTCAGCACAGCCAAACGACGCTCAACTTGCTCAGCAATGTGTCCCTCCGTTTGGCATGGGGTTTCAAGTAGAGTGAAGGACGCCCGATAAGGATGCAAGGGCCTTGGAGGGCCATTTCGAAGCTTTTTCGAGGGCCGCGCCGCCAGCGAAAGTGGCCAAGGATAGGCCGGAAGGGCGACGATGCAAGATTACCCCTGGGAAAAACGCCCATCCTTACTATGCGGGTTAACTGTACTCGGGACGGTGTTCGCATGTTACGGCCAGCTCTGGCTTGTTCGCCGTGTCGGCCGCGCCATGGAGGCCAACTCCTCCTCCTCCTCCTCCTCCTCCTCCTCCTCCTCCTCCTCCTCCTCCCTCTCTCCTCCCTCTCTCCTCCCTCTCTCCTCCCTCTCTCCTCCCTCTCTCCTCCCTCTCTCCTCCCTCTCTCCTCCCTCTCTCCCTCCTCCCCCTCCCCCTCCTCCTCCTCCCCCTCCCCCTCCTCCTCCCCCTCCTCCTCCTCCCCCTCCTCCTCCTCCTCCTCCTCCTCCTCCTCTTCGGGTTCCTCGTGTCGATGGCCTCCGACACCGCCTGCGCCGAGCGCCGCCTCGAGCCTCGGCCCCGCGATGCTGGAGCCCCCCCCCCCGCCCCGGCCAAAGGGCGGCACGCGGCGGCGGCGCCTGGTGGGCTCTCGACCACCAGGACCCGTGACCTTCGCGGCACGGGGGCGTGCCAAAGTCGATGGCCCTCAGAGCGCGTGTCGTTCCCATCCGACCTAAGGACCACACCCCAGAAGCAATCTCGAGCACCCGGAAACGTGTCGACAGAGTGTCGAAAGATTGTCGGGCGAGTGTTTCCCAGGGCCCTGCGTGTGAAAACCCTCGAGTTTCGGTATTTGTTGCTGGTGCTCGAAATTCTTGCTGGTGATCAGGGCTAAACATAGGTTGGAGCATCATACCTCAGGGCGTGTGTTGGCGCCAGCGCGTGCCTGACCACAGAGTGCCCTTCGGCACGACGCAGGCGGTGCGGCGAGGGCCGATGCGGGCTGCGGGCTGCGGGTGGAGCGGGACGGGGTGACACACACGACCTCGGGGGCCATCGAGCGAGGCATGGGGAAGGACGGCAAATGAAGCCGAAGCCACGGAGGAACGACTGAGACTCAATTGAATGGGCCGCTCAGCTTCGCGCTTCGCGCACCGTGCCCCGCGCCCCGCGACGCGCGATCACCTTCGCAGCCCCGCGCCACCCCAATGCAGGGGGGACAACCGCTCTGGCCCAGACCGTGAGGCGCGAAGCGCGCTGGCCCTTCGCGCCCTGCGCAAGCGAATTCAGCACCGTCGGCCCGTATCGAAAGGATGCGCGATGAGGATGCGAGGCCCTTGGACGCCCATCTCGAAGCTTCTCGAGCGGAGCGCGGCCAGCGAAGCTGGGCCACGGATGGACCGAGGAGGCAAGGATGCAAGGGCACCCTTGAGAAGGTTGCCCATCCTTGCTATGCGGGTTGACTGTAGGCCGCTTGCCGCCAGGGCGGATTTCGAGGGGACGATCACACCATCTCAGCGACGGCGACGACGACGCCCACGACCAGGCCCGCAGCCCTGTGTATATCAACAATCGCCCAAAGGAAGTGCTGCGTGGCGCTCACCCCGGGTGCCTCCCTCAAACCGCCATCCTGCATCACGCCTGCACGGGTACTGTCCAGGCCGCCGAGGACAGCCAGGATTTGGATGCACTGCACAAGAGGAAGCCAGGATGATAATGGCGGCGTCGGGAGGAGGAGGAGGAGGAGGAGGAGGAGGAGGAGGAGGAGGAGGAGGGAGGAGGAGGAGGAGGAGGAGGAGGAGGAGGAGGAGGAGGAGGAGAGAGGAGGAGGAGCAGGATGATGAGGAGGAGGAGGAGAAGGAGGAGGAGGAGGAGGAGGAGGAGGAGTGGGGCCGGAGAGGCGGCGGAGTGGGGGAGACGACGAAGGCAGGGTGAGGAGACACTCGGACGAGGACCAGTCAAACATCGCCGAGAGCTGGCGGGCCAAGAGTGCCCGACGACGCACTCCTGCCCTGGCCAGGGGGGGCACACACACTCACTCACTCGCTCACACACACACCCACACCCACCCACACCCACCTATCCACGTGCCCCACCCACCCACACCCACTCATCCACCCACCCACCCACCCCCACCCCCACCCCGACATGTATATTCATACAGTTTTCTTGCTATACACTGTGTGTTCGCGAGTCTCCGCGCGTGCGCTGGACGGCGTGGCGCTCTGCGCCCGCCAGCGACGACCGAAAGTGTGTGTGTGTGTGTGTGTTGTGTTGTGTGTGTGTGTGTGTCTGTGTCTGTGCCAGTATCTGTGTCTGTGTCTGTTTGTGTGTGTGTGCGTGTGCGTGTGCGTGGGCGGTGGTGCGTGGGCGTGTGTGTTGTGTGTGTCTGTGTCTGTGTATGTGTGTGTGTGTGCGTTGCGTGTGCGCGTGTATGTATGTGTTGTGTCTTTGTTGTGTCAATTGTTGTCGTGTGTGTCTTATGTGTGCGTGTGTCGTGTGCTGTGCGCGTGTGCGTGTGTGTGTGTGTGTGTTTGCGTGTGTGTGTGTGTTTGTGTGTGTTTGTGTGTGTGTGTGTGTCTGTGTCTGTTGTGTGTTCTGTGTGTGACGTGTGCGTGTGTGTGCGCGGTGTATGTGTGTGTGTTGTGTGTGTCTTTGGTATGGTCTTTGTGTTTTCTTTGTGTTGTCTTTGGGGTGTTCGTTGTGTGCGTGTGCGTGTGCGTGTGCGCGTTTGCGGCGTGTGCGTGTGTGTGGTGTGTGTGTGCGTGTGTGTTGTGTGTGTGTGTGTGTGTCTGTGTCCTGTGTGCGTGTGCGTGTGCGTGTGTGGTGTGTGTGTGTTGTGTGTGCGTATGTGTGTGCATGGGTTGTGTTAGTGGATGCGTGTGTGTGCTTGTGTGTTTGTGTGTGCGTGTGTGTGTGCATGTGTGAGTGTAAGTGTGTTCGTGTTTATGTGGTGTTTGTTTGTTTGTTTGTTTGTTTGTTTGTTTGTGTTTGTGTTTGTGTGTGCTTGTGTGTGTGTGTGTGCCTGCGTGCGTGCGTGTGTGGTGTGTGTGTGTGTCGTGTTTATGTGTGTGTGTGGTGTGTGTGTGTGTGTGCGCGTGTGTGCGTGCGTGCGTGCGAGCGTGTGCGCGCGCGCGCGTGTGTGTGTGTGTGTGTGTGTGTGTGTGTGTGTGTGTGTGTGTGTGTGTGTGTGTGTGTGTGTGTGTGTGTGGGGGGGGCGGTTGTCGGCGCCCGCCGACCTCGCGCTGCTGGCCGAGGACGGCGCGCGGGCTCCTGCGGAGGGGGCGCCGCGAGAGAGGCCCGCCCCGGGCTCCGTCGAGGCGGTCGGGGGGAGTCTCGCGACTGTCTCGAGCTGCTTCCGGGAGCGTCGGGAAGCGGACCGCGTGGGGGGGGGGTGCGGCCACCGTGCCGCCGCAGAGCAAACATCGCCGAGCAGGAAGCGCGCGAACCTTCTCTGGCCGCGGCCGCAGCCGCGGCCGCGAGTGGGCGGGCAGCCCCGAGGTGGGCCCTCTTTTTTGGCGTCCGGAGCTGGGCGTAGGAGGGTTGGATCGCGTGACGGGGGTGGCTTCGGCGCGGAGGAGGAGGAGGAGCAGGAGGAGCAGGAGGAGGAGGAGGAGAGAGGGAGGAGGAGGAGGAGGAGGAGGAGGAGGAGGAGGAGGAGGAGGAGGAGGAGGAGGAGGAGGAGGAGGAGGAGGAGGAGGAGGAGGAGGAGGAGGAAAGAGAGGAGGAGGAGGAGGAGGAGGAGGAGGATGAAGAGGGGAAGAAGAAGGATGAGGAGGAGCGTGGGGGGCCGGAACGGGCCGTCGGGCCGGAGTGGCATGGGGAGTGTGCCTATGGAGCAGCCTGGAGTGCCCGTCGGTCGGAAGAAAGTGGGCAGAAACAGCACGCAGGAAGGCGGTGAGAGTAGATTGTGCTTCCGCCCGCCCCTGGAAGAGGAAGGAGGAGGGGAAGCCACTCGATCACTGCAGCAGGAAAGATCCCCAAACAGATCGGGATCGGGGAGCCCAAACATGCGGTCGGACACAAGAGAGAATGACATCCTCCCAGAACATGAGGCCATCCGCTGGCCAAAACACCTCAAACCCTGAGATTGCTCGAAGGTACCCTCCCCCAGGATGCTCAAGAAATCCAACAGCCACGGAGCACACTGGGGTACCTTCCCCGAGCCGACCTCGATCTTATACCTCGGTCCGACCGTACCTACTTTCCACGACCGACGGGTAAGCGCCGCGTTGGACCGTGGATCAAGGAACGGAACCCCCGTGCAGGCCCCCAATTTGGTGGCGCGCAAAAGGGGGTGGGGGGAGGGGGGAGGGCTTCTTAGAAGGAGGCTGCTTCTAAGAAGCCCTCCCCCCTCCCCCCACCCCCCTCTGCGCGTGGCTGACCAATGCCGCAGCCGTTCACGAGGAGGGCGGGAGGAACAGCCATGCCAGGACCCACGGAGCACCGAGCCCCTTCCAAGCCCGAGCTGCTCCTTACCTCGGCGTCTCGACTGCATCCCCGCCCCCACTGGGGAGGCCTTGGCCCCGCCGCCCGGCCGGCCGTCCCCGGAGGCGGGGATGCATGCCGCCTCCCTCGGGCTTCGCAGCACCCGTGCCCACCCTCCTCGTGGGGGCTATTGAACCCTGGCCCCCTGTGGAGGTGGACGTCACAGTCGACCCGGGCAGTAAGGATAAGCGGTGAGGACGCAGGGGCCTTGGAAAGCCGTGCTGGCGTTCTGCGAGCGGGGCGCGGCCGGCGCAAGCGGCTGAGGATGGGCCGACGGGGAAGGATGCGAGGGCAACCTTGGAGAGTCGCTCATCCTCACTATGCGGGTTGACTGCATCAGCACGCCCGCCATGGGCACGATGCCCAACAGCAAATACTGCCCCGAACCAACAGCGGCCGCGTCGGGCAGGCGACTTGCTGTCCAAATAGAAAACGTCTCCGGCGACGCCGACAACAAATCAGAGGCCTCCTAGATGGGGTCCGGGTAGATAGCGTCGAAGGATCGCGCCGCATCGCCAATGCATCGCCGATGCATCGGCGACCTCGGCGATGCATCGGCGACGTCGGCGTGGATGAAGTCGGGCTCCACATCGAGCCGCATCGCCGATGCATCGGCGATGCGGCGCGATCCCGCCGACCCCCACCTGCTCGGACCCTACCTAGGAGGCCTGGACAAAGCCTGGTCACATGGGCAACAACTCTTGCTGGCCTTTTGGACGCCCGAAATGGGTACGGAAACATGGGTACAATTCCCAACAACAACTGTTGTCCCAAACCAACAGCTGCCGCTGTTGGGCAGGCGGCCTTCTGTCTCAAATGGACACAGGCCGCGGCGGCGCGGACAGCGAGTCCTGCTCAAAATGAGCAGGAACTGCTGTTGGGCATCGTACCCATTCTTTCCGCACCCGTTTCGCTCTGGTCCCCCCTCGTCCCGCACCCCACCTGCTCGGACCCTGTCTGGGAGGCCCGGACAAGGCCTGGTCACAGGGGCAGCAGCTGCTGCTGGCCCTGGGTCCCCCCTCCTCCCGCACCCCTTCTTGAGCAGGGACCGACCGTCGCGGCATTCCTATAGTCCTACCACGACATGTTCATATCATAGAACCCAAAAATGTTCTAAGAACAAAAACACTGTTCTTAGAACGTTAACCCGATGTGTTAAACCGAGACAGTCCCAACCAGAAATGCTCTAAGAACATCTCGTGGAAACCACACAAGGCTCTTAGAACAGTGCTTGTCAGGGCTACAGACGAGCCAGGACGCTTCGCCACAAGCTTGACCTTCCGGTCGTGCCGACGCACAGGCCCGACCGCTGCGGACGCCTGGCCGTGAGGGCCGACGCTCCTCCCAGGCCGACGCTCGGGGGGGCCCCGCTCGGGGCCCCTCGGGTGGGCCCTCGGGGCGCTCCCCGCCCCCCTCCCCCCCCCTTGGCCCCGGCGAGGCCGCGGCCGGCGGAGGAAAAGCCCTGGCGCTCAGACACCCCCCACGAACAGCAGACGTTTTTTTTTTTTTTTTTTTTTTTTTTTTTTTTTTTTTTTTTTGTTTTTTTGTTTTTTCTTGTTTTTTTTTCCCCCCCCCCCCCCATTCTAAAATCTGGTTTCCGAATTCGAAAAAACTGGTTCATGAATTCAAGAAGCTCGTTTTTCGGATTCAAAAAACAAGCCAGCCCCCACGATCAGCAGGCAGCTCCGACCACGACAGGCTGGAGTCGATGCTGGTGTTGCCTTCCCAGGTCGCTTCCGTTCGCGCACCACGGCCCGCGATGCGCGAGGCACGAGCACCTTCGCGCCCTCTCGTGACCTCGCGACGCCTCCGTGGAGACGTGCAGCCAGTCTGACCTGGCCGCGACGCGCGAAACTCCTGCCCCCGAGGGTACTCCGAGTTTCTTTAATAAGCGTCGAGGGGGCGTCACCCCCTCCGACAGCCCCACATCGACCTCGGTCGCGGGCAGCCACCGAGCGCCGAAGGCGCTCCGACCCCCGTCGCGGCGCGACGACGAGGCGAGGTTGATCCCCGTCGGGGGGGGGATCCCCCCCCAACGCTTATTCAGAAACCCAGAGTCTGTAACCTACTTGTCTGGCACTGCGCGGATCGGAATGCCTTGAACGACCGCGGCCTCCTGATGGCGCCTATCGCTCGACACCGACCCGCTTCTGGGCCTCTGGCGGCGGTCAACCTCGAACGACCGCGCTGGGGTCACTGCCGCATCATCGCGACACGGGCCTGCCGTACCTCCTCTGGCCGATCCTCTTCTACACAGGGACTCGATCAGCATATTCTCGGCTGTGCGCAGGGCTGGCCTCCCTGACACAAACAACACAATACAACATGCACCTCACGGCTGAATTCTGGATCATGCACGGCCATCCCGCGATCACTGTCGAGAGGTTTTTGACAGGGACGGTCGGGGTGGTGGCGCGTGGCGTGCTGTGCGCAGGCCCACCAGACACAATGATGGACAGTGGTTTTCGACAGGGGTGGCGGGGGCCGATCCGTCTACGGCGACAGCAAAGCCGAACACCGACCGAACTGACAACGAAGCCCAGAACCACCGCCAGACCGCAAGCAGCCGAATTAGCAAGGCGCAGCGACGCAACAACGACACAACGACCGACCTAAACGACCCCATCGAACGCAACCGACTACGACGTCACCGAACCAACTGAACAGCGACCCTTGGACCCCTCTGCCTTCCCAGAAATACGATGTCTTGATGTTTCGAATCCCCCAAACAAATCCCGCTGTCTTTCCCCGGGGCCGGCTTCTCATCCCAAACCGTCCGCTGACGGTCCCACGGCCTGGCGTGGGCTCCCAAAATCCGAGAACGCCGAAGACTCGAACCTCCGCATGCAACTTGTCTGTAAACTTTCCGTCTAACTGTTCTTCGAAACTCGTAAGCGCGCTGCCAAATCCAGAATCGGCGGGCAACGTTGCCTCCACCTGTCTCCCGTTGCCTCGTACGGTTACTGGGACTTGAACTAATGCTAACACTGGCAGCAGTAGCGTCATTCGTATTGGCATGTGTTGTAGTATTAGCCTTACCTGTAGAATTAGTGTTCTTATGCATGTGTGGCATAGTGGTGATATTACTGTTAGATCTGTGACGCACCTGAGATCCTTAAATTATTGTTAATGTTCGCACTGCGAGTCCCACACTTACCAGACTTGGTACGCATATCAATACAACCATCGACATCACTATGTATATTCGCATGCGTCATCGTAGGAGTACTAGTCTCACTTTCAGTATGCGTAGCTGTCAGACTAACATGAAACAACCTAAAACATACGTAGCCGTATTATATTAGTGATGCTCGCATTCGTGCCGTTATTCGAATTGTTAGGCGTATGCGAATTAGCGTTAGTACTAGATCTGACCTTAGTCTCAAGACCGTCAGTACTGCTAGTACCAATATCAATATTACTATTCGTCTTGATACTCGTACTGTCTCATGCTGAATGATAATGTCAATCTCAATTTCAACGTTCATTTCTGCAATCGTAACCGTATTGCTGGCAATGCTACTGCTAAATGATGTGTTCTGTTGTTCTGTATACTCACTACCCACCTTGCCCGCAAACGGTCCTTTAAACTCGAGTGTGGGCCAGGAAGCGGACACCCCGGCACCGTGGAAAGATGCCTCGGGTTTCTGCAGCAAGGGTGTCATTTTGTGGTGTTGTTGAACACGTTGGAGACCTGGCCTCTTCTCTGCCCTTTTACGATCGCATTCCTCTTGCCTCTCTTCTGCCTGTCCCTCGCGAGCTCCTCGTCCTCCCCTTTCCCTCCCCGAAGAAGACATCGGCCGCGGCCCCGCCCGTCCGTCTGGCGTCTTGAGGAGCGCCGAATCGAAAATGTCGCTGGCAGTCTTGGTGGAAGCCGCCTGGGACGGGACGGCCAGGAGGGGAACCTTCACACAGTCGGGGTGGATTGGTTGGGGAGGACACGCGAGAAGACACAAGACACAAGCGCCTTCCGGGGGCCACATGGCCATGGGAATGTAGGAAGGCATGGGTCGCGAGACGCAGGACACAAGGGTGCCCTTGATTTGGCAGGGCCGACCTGCTCATCAACCTCGACTGCAGAAGATGACACAATGCCACAGCAGAACCTTTCGGAAGTCCATGCGCATTTCAAGCATCACGTGCCCCCCCCCCCGCGGGCTCCGGCAAGACCTCTGCCGCGGCAGGCACGGGCTCTCGGACACTGCCGCCGCGCGGGCCCCCGAGGTTGTTAATGTTTTCAGGTCTCTCGCCTTTTCGAGCGTCCTACGTCCAATAAGGCCCCCGAAAGAACCCCAAGACGGCCGAAAAGAGGGTTCCAAAAAGGCCCAAGAGGGCCCACAAGACTGCCTCACAGAAGGACAAGGCAGCAACAAGATGGCCCAAACGAGTTCAATGAGGGCTCCTCAACTAGTGACCACGAACAGTGTCACATGAGACGGCCTTCCTCTTCCTCCTCCTCCTGGTCCTTCTCCTGGTCCTCCTCCTCCTCCTCCTCCTGCTCCTTCACATCATCTTCATCATCCTCGTCCTCATGCTCATCTTCCTCCTCCTCCTCCTCCTCCTCCTCCTCCTCCTCCTCCTCCTCGTCACCGCAACCATCACCACCACCACCACCATCACTATCGCCGACACCAGCATCATTATCATCATCATCATCATCATCATCATCATCATCAGCATCAGCATCAGCATCAGCATCAGCATCAGCATCAGCATCAGCATCATCATCATCATCATCATCATCATCATCATCATCATCATCATATGCATCATCATCATAAACATCATCAACATCATCGTCATCACCATCATCGTCATGGTCACCATCATCACAATCACCACCCCCATCACCATCACAAACATCACCACCACCACCACCACCATCGCCATCATCATAATATTCAACATCGTCATCATAACCACCATTCACCGCCACCACCACCATGAGCATCATCATGAAAACAACCGTCATCATCATCACCGCCATCATCATCATCCTCAACACCCCCATCATCATGATCATGATCATCACCATCCTCTTCAGCAGCATCGTCACCACCATCAACATCATCATCAGCATCACCAGTAACATCCTCCTCCTCCTCATCACCACCAACACCACAATTACCATCACCATCACCATCACCATCACCATCACCATCACAATCATCATCATGAGCATGATCATAATCATGATCATGCGCACTATCATGATCACCATCATAATCACCATCACCATCACCATCATCGTCATCATCGTCGTCATAACCATTATCGTTATCATCAGTAGCATCAGTACTATCAGCATCGCCAGCATCATCAACATCATCACCACCATACTCATTATCAACATCATCATCAACATCATCATCAGCATCGCCGTCGTCACTGTCAGCGCCATCGTCATCGTCATCGGCATCGCGATCGTCATTCCCAGCGTCATCGGCATCATCATCATCGTCGTCGTCGTCGTCATCGTCGTCATCATCATCACGGCTCCCCCAAGCCTGGTGACACAGCGCTTCACACGTGAGGGCCTACCCTGTCCCCTCGAACGGTCGCCACCCAGAATGCTGGGGCGGCACGGCTTGCGGGGCGTGCCGCCAACAGCTGGGTGTTCCTGTCCACTGCGGCGAGGGCCCCCTTAAACGACTAGCGCGCGGTTGGCCTGCCCAATCGGGCTGCAGTCAACCCGTGCAGCAAGGACGCAAGAGAAGGATGTGAGGGCCTTGGGAGGCCATGTCGGGGCCATGCCGGCACGCTGCGCAAGGGGCGCGGCCAACGAGAGTGGCAAGGATGGACCGAGGAGGCAAGGATGCAAGGGTACCCTTGGGAAGGTTGCCCATCCTTACTATGCGGGTTGACTGTAGATCCAATTTCGTGAAAGATCCAGTCTCCCCAGATCCGCGGCAGGATGCTGAAATCAAAGAAACGCGGTAACCCCGTTTTGAGAAACAGATCTGCCCTCCATCTGTTTACGTACGTCGCAATTTCAACTGGTAATAGGAATTGCTGGATTCGTGAACGAAAAACTGATCTTGAAGAGAAGCCAACCACCATCCGTGAAATTGTTGCAACCCTGGGTGCCTCGGGACATAGCACGTGAAGAAGGTGCAACCAAATTGTGAACGCCGCAGTTTGACGAGTTCGCCTACATCTTTGTAGCCGTGGCTAGCTTGCAAGACGAATGTACGCGGCGCCTAGGCGAGAACTGGATGTTGAAAGCTATCGGAACCTTCTTGATGGCTGATACAAGCTCTACGAAAGATGTGAAAACTGTGCGCGGCGCTCAAGCGAGTGCGCAACATGTTGATAACCAATGGCCCTGCATCCCTGCAGTGATTGCAAGCTTTGAGTACGAGAATTGCGCGTGCTGAATCCGAGCCCAAATTTGAAGAATACTGGCCCCCCATCCAAATGCTGTGAACTTTCGAATCGAATATGCGCGGCGCTGAGGCGTGCCAAACTTTGAACACCACCGTCTCTCAAGCGAACCGTCCAGCCCCGCCCTGGACACGTCTAGCGGTGCGACGGGGGGGGGGGGGGTACGGACGAGGCATGGAGGACCAGGTTAAGGTTAAGCTTAAGTCGGGCCTGTCCCCCTACAGGCCGATTTTGGATGAAAAATAAGAATAGTTTGAAAATACCCTAAAATATTCAAAAATGGTATAAAAAATCGTCCCAAGACTATTTTTTCACTATTTTTGAATTTTCCCATTGTAGAAGGACAAGCCCGACTCAAGGTTAAGCGCGTGGGAAGCGGATCCACGCGGCGGCGGCGGCAGCGAACCGAGTTGGGTTGCCACTGCCTCTGCATAACTATGGATGCACGCCCGGCGCTGTCAGTGACCCGCCCGGGGCGCCCTCCAGGGCCTAAGCCGTAGACGAGAAACCGTGGAGGGGGGCCCTGCTGCAGGATGCTCTGCTCGAGCCCTGCTGCACGCATTCTGGAGGAGAGGGGAAGTACAGTCCACCCGCAGAGTAAGGATGCGCGATAAGGATGCAAGGCCCCTGGGCGCCCATTTCGAAGCGTTTCGAGCGGGGCGCGGCCAACGAAAGTGGCCAAGGATGCACCGATGAGGCAAGGATGCAAGGGTACCCTTGGGAAGGTTGCCCATCCTTATTCTGCGGGTCGACTGTACACACAGTCTGGAGGAGAGGGGAAGTAAGAAGGGTCGGGAGGAGGGGTTCGGTCCCGAGGTCTCTTTACGTCAGCGGACTCGAGCACAACTTCGAACGTCTCCCTGCGCCTACGGGCCCCATGGCCCCATGCTCGCCGATGCCCGGAGGCCGTCCCGAACATAGAGGAGGCCAGTTCCTCGAGCGGCCTGTCTGTCTCCATGACTGCCTCCGCTTTGGAGGCCTCCCGAACGGGGTCCAGGTCGGAGGATCGGGCCGCAGCGGCGACGCATCGCGAATGCATCGGCGACGGGTCGGCGGTGCATCGCCGACGTCGGCGTGGAGACACATCGGGACCAAGCTCCGCATCGAGCCGCATCGCCGATGCACCTGCGATGCGGCGCGCTCCTCCGACCTCTGCTTCAACCCTGCAGAGGAGGAGGAGGAGGAGGAGGAGGAGGGGGAGGAGGATCAGGAGGAGGAGGAGGATCAGGAGGAGAAGGAGGGAGGAGGAGGAAAAGGAGGAGGGAAGAGGAGGAGGAGGAGAGAGGAGGAGGGGGGAGGAGGGAGGAGGGAGGAGACCCTCCGCGCTCTCTGCAGACCCGCACACCTGCACGCGCAGGCGCGCGTGCCCGCGCCGAACGATGGGCCCCTCCACTTGCAAAAGCCTGCACGGCCGCACGCCCGCCCACGCTAAGCCGGCGGCACCCTAGCCTCCTTCCCCCCCCCCCCGTCCTCCTCCTCCTCCTCCTCCTCCTCCTCCTCCTCCTCCTCCTCCTCCTCCACCTCGCATCCCTCTCCACCTCCACCTCCGTGCTGTCACTGTCCTCCTCCTCCTCCTCCTTCACAATCAACCTTCTCCTACTACCCGTCTCCTGCTCCCCCTGGGCTCCTCCTCCTCCTCCTCCTCCTCCTCCTCCTCCTTCACATTCATCGCTCTCCTGTTGTCCTCCTCCTGCTCCCCCTGGGTTCCCAGGGATCCCGAGATGACTCCGGAGCTCCCCGAGGGTCTCTGGAGGTCCTCGACGTGCCTGTGGAGGTCTGCAGAGGCCCGAGGCCTCCAGAAGACAACAAAAAGCCGAACACGCAGAGGAAGCCCGATCCTGGTCCCTCCTCTTCTATCCCAGCTCGTTCTCTCCCTCTCTGAAAGAAACCAACAATCACACAAACATAATCTTTTGGCGCTCCGCGCGGATTTTTTGGATCCGAGCTGTGCCCCCTCCCTGGCGCGCGGAGCGCGCCAGGGTCGGCGCCGGAAGCGCCGCCAGGGGGCTCCCAACGCGGGTCCGAGAAATCCGCGCGGAGCGCCCAAAATTTATGTTTATGTGCTTTTCTCTTCTTCGACTCTCGCCCTGCAATGCTGACGCAACCCGTGCATGGAGACCCACCCCCTCTTTGCACTGCCCGGCTGACAGATCTCACAGACCGTGCAGATCCGCAGCGGACCTCGGGGCGAGGAGGAGGCCAGTCGGTGTTTACGAAAGGGTAGAGTAGCGAATCAGCTCACGTCGCTGGCTTCCCCAGTGCCTCCCGGCGCCGGAGACGGCCATGAATCGAGGCGGTGCCCAGCGGTGATGCCGAGACCAACAGAATGCAGCTGGTTTCGTGCCCCCCATTTCCCACCCTCCCGCCCATATCCCCTGGGAAAGCCGGAACATGGATCAATTCAGGCAGCCGACTTGTCTTCGTCCGATTGTTGAGCTGCGGAAGAATAACAAAACGGTCGTCCGTTCCACACCCAGGGGGAAGGTAGTTATGCTTTCGGAAGTTGTAGATCTTGACATGGATCTATTGTTCGAGCTGTTTGATTATTGAAAGCCTGGAAGACTTTGGAGGTTGGGGGGTCAAGGATACAATCTTCACAAGAGATACTCAAGTAATTCGGTACAACAGAGTACGGTAGGATCACGCTTCGTTGCGATGCTATTATCGATACGTTGCAACGTGTGTGTTGCACGTCGAACTCACGCCCACATCATTCACCATGAGCGCCTGTCTCTGGCGATACCAATCCATGGAATACCTCGTGCATGGCCCCAACGCTTGAAAACAACCAATCGATACCGCTGAAAGGAATGACGCTCTCGGAATGCACCCGTGGAATCTCTGGGAATGCCGTGTGGGCCCTGGGACACACACACACACACACAAATAAATACACACAAATAGCAGGATTCCCCATGTTTTCCCATATTTTCTGGGTTTTCGTCTTCCCCCCTCTTCCCATATTTTCCTATATATTCCTGGGAACCGACGATTAATAGTGTCTGTGTGTTTTTCCCCTTCCTGGCCATCCGCGGATCGCGGGAGGCGGCCTCCCCCCCAAGAAGACGGCCGGTGCCGCCTCGCTCGGTGGCGGAAGTCCGTGGTTTCCCATGGAAGCGGGGCCCGTCGCCAGAGTGAGCGCTTTCTTTTTTCGGCGTTTCGAAGTTGGGCGGCAAGGGGGGGGGGGTCTGGCTCCAGACCTCTGCTTAGCGCGGCTGTTTGCTGCAGTGCTGCCTCTGGGGGAGGCTCCACCCGCTCGAAACAGGCGCCAAAAAACAGCCAAGATCTACTCCATGGGGGGAGGGAGGGGGGGGGTTGGGGAACCCGCGCCGATGGGCAAAATAATGCATACAAAAAGCGTTCACCAATCCACGCCCCCTTGATCCATGTGTGCGTTCCCCTGACTTTGGCGAAGCTTCTCTACGCCTGAGGCCTCCCCCCGCGTTCCCCCCCTGCGCGGCAGCGCCCTCCTTTGTTTTCTCACCCGTCCAGGCGTGCCTCTGCCCGGCCTTGGCCCGCTGGCGGACCGACCGCACTGGCGTCCTCGTTTTCGCTGGCTGGCCAAGCCTTTTGATCTCTGGCCGCCTCCAGGAATCCTTCTTGCAACTGTGGAATGTCTGGAACGTCGCTCTGGAATCCCACCAACCCTCCTGGCGCAGGTGGTCTTTCTTCCCTCTTCCAAGAAGCCTTCTTCCCCTTCGGGGAGGGGTTTATCACTGTTCCCTATTAATATACACCTCCTCCCCCAGGCGACCGGGGGCCAACCAGGGTCCATGCCCCCCCCAACCATACCTTGTTTATATAAACCATACAAAATACACTCTGCCTCCAAATTCGGAACATGCGCAGCCAACCCGATGCGCCCCCCCCACCATCCCTGTCAAACAACGATACAGAATACACTTGGCGCCGGCGGCGGCGGCTGCGGCGGCTGCGGCGGCGGGGGCGGCGGCTGCGGCGGCTGCGGCGGCGGCGGCGGCGGGGGCGGCGGCGACGGCGGCGGCGGCGCGCGCGGCGGCGCGGCAGCGGGCGTGTGGCGGCAGCGGCCTGCGGCGGCGGCGGCAGGCGCGGCGGCGGCGGCGGCGGCGGCGGCGGCGGCGGCGGCGGGCGCGGCGGCGACGGCGGCGGCGGCGGCGGGCAACGGCGGCGGCGGCGGGCAGCGGCGGCGGCGGCGGCGGCGGCGGCGGATTGGCCCCCAGTTGCTGCCCATCCCAAGACGACTGCTGAATATGCTCAGGCTCGGGCCAGACTCGGGTGCTACGTATGTGTTGGGAGGGCGGGTGGGAGTGAGCGAAACGGCTTGCGGGCGGGGAGGGGGTCTTGATCACTGTTCCCTATGAAAAAAACACCCCCTCCCCCAGGCGACCGGGGGCCAACCAGGGTCATCATGCCGACCCCCCCCACCATCCATTGTAAAAACCAATACAAAACACACTATGCCTCCAAATTCGGAACATGCGCAGCCAACCCGATGCGCCCCCCCCCACCATCCCTGTCAAAAAACAAGTATCCCGGCAAAGCAACCTAACAGCGATGTGTAGGAGCATATCTGGAAGCATTCCCCTTAAGATTCATATATAATCCAGTTGTGGAATCCTGCTGTTCTCGCAGTCGTAGTCGCATTCGCGATGACAGTCGCAGTGGCAACGGCAGTCACAGTCACAGCCTCAGCCTGCCTCAGCCTCAGCCTCAGCCTGCCTCAGCCTCAGCCTGCCTCAGCCTCAGCCTCAGCCTGCTTCAGCCTCAGCCTCAGTCTGCCTTCAGCCTCGGCGTCAGCGTCAGGCTGCCTCAGCCTCAGCCTGCATCAGCCTCAGCCTCAGCCTGCCTCAGCATCAGTCTGCCTCAGCCTCAGCCTCAGCCTGCCTCAGCCTCAGCCTGCTTCAGCCTCATCCTCAGTCTGCCTTCAGCCTCGGCCTCAGCCTCAGCCTGCCTCATCCTCAGCCTGCCTCAGCCTCGGCATCAGCCTGCCTCAGCATTCAAAATGTGGCCTGGGAGTGAATTTCTGGGAACTCGAAAAACACGAAGTGGCCTACAGTTGGCTCCGGGCATTCAAAATCATGCCCAGGAATGGAATTCCGGGAACTCGAAAACCACGAAATGGCCTACAGTTGGCTCCGGGCATCCAAAATGTGGCCCGCGGGTGGAGTTTTGAGAACTCGAAGACCACGAAGTGGCCTACAATTGGCTCCGGGCATCCAAAATGTGGCCCGAGAATGGAGTTTTGGGAAGTCGAAGAGCACGAAAGGGCCTACAGTTGGCTCCGGGCATTCAAAATGTGGCCCGGGAATGGAGGTCTGGGAGCGCCAAAAGCGATTTTGCGAGGATGTCCCAAGCGATTTCGGCTTCGGCGGAAGCCGCCCCGGGTCCCGCCCCGACCCCCCTGAGGAGTCATGATGCTCTCTTTTGACACCACTAGAAACCTATCAATCTTCGCTGTTAGGTAATACGCAGTGCACTTGGCCGCGGCGGCGGCTGCGGCGGCTGCGGCGGCGGTGGCGGCGGCTGCGGCGGCTGCGGCGGCGGCTGCGGCGGCGGCGGCGGCGGGGGCGGGGGCGGCGGCGGCGGCGGCGGCGGCGGCGGTGGCGGCAGCGGCAGCGGCTGCGGCGGCGGCGTCGGTTTGGCAGCGGGGGGCGGCGGGCGGCGGCGGCGGCGCGGCGGCTGCGGCGGCTGCGCCGGCGGCGGCGGAGGCGGCGGCGGCGGCGGCGGCGGCGGCGGCAGCGGTGGCGGCAGTGGCTGCGGCGGCGGCGGCGGCGGTTTGGCAGCGGGGGGCGGCGGCGGCGGCGGCGGCGGCGGGCGGCGGCGGCGGCGGCGGCGGCGGCGCCAGATTGGCCCCCAGTAGCTGTCCATCCCAAGACGACTGCTGAAAATGCTCAGGCTCGGGCCAGACTCGGGTGCTACGTATGTGTTGGGAGGGCGGGTGGGAGTGAGCGAGACGGCTTGCGGGCGGGGAGGGGGTAACTTGACCCCTCCCCCTACCCCCTCCCCTGGACCTGGACGGGAAAGGGCCGCGAGTCGTTGGAGCGTCCAAGATCGGCCCCTGGGAGGGCCAATTCTTGACACCCCTCACAAAGATCGTGGCCCCCGAGGGGGGGGGCCTCGATCGGGACCCTTCCTCCTATGATCAATAGCCTCCCAAGATGGCCCCAAGAGGCCCTCCCGGGCTCCCAAGAGGCTCCCGAGAGGGCCCAAAGAGCGCCCCAAAGAGCGCCCCAAGAGGCCTCCCCGAGGCACCCAAGAGGCCCCCGAGAGGCCCCCGAGCGGCCTCAGAGAGCCCAAGATGACCTCCAGGATGACTCCGATAGCCCAAACTGGCTCAGGATGGCTCCGAAGAAGCTCCAGGAGCGCTCCAAGAGAGCCCCAGGAAGCGGTTTGCGCTGGGCCCGCGGCGGGTGCCCCGCCGTGGGCGGCCGCACGGAGGGCAGCGAGCACGGCCGGCACCGCGCAGCTTGCGCCAGGTCCTCTTTCGCCACGTGGTCTGCACCACGCAGCTTGCACCATGCAGACGATGACGATGACGATGACGATGGCGATGGCGATGACGTCATCGTCATCGCCATCGCCGTCGTCACCGTCATCGTGTCACATCGCTTGCGCCACATGGCCTGCACTGCACATATTGCACCACATCGATTGCACCACATAGCTTGCAACACACAGTCTGTACCAAAGCCTACTGCACATAATCTACTGCACACCATAACTTGCCACATAGCATAGCTTGCACCAACCCACGTGCCCCTTAGCTTGCACAACAATTAATTTCCACCAACTTGCTCGTGCTACATGTATTGCACCACCTGCTCATCTTGCACATGCAAAATGCAATCACCTTCTGGTCCGGGCTAGCCGGCAAACACAGAGGTATAACATATTCAGATACATGTAACATGACACGCTGAATTGTCATACGGAACACTTCGGATCCATTCGCAGTAGCTCCTTGATGGAATCGCCCAGAGCAAACTCGTTATCATTTGTTCGCGTCTCTAGGAAAGCCTGGGTTTCGGGCCTCAGCATCGATCCTCGGACCTCGGACCTGTCCGACATCCCGTTCTGGCCAAACTGCTCGATGCGAAGAGATATCTCAAAGAACTAGAAGGCAACGCGATAAACACACGACTAAGGAGGCATCGCTGTCTTCTTGTGAACATATTATACTCACGACTCTTCAACAGCAAGCCCAGTAAGACCACAGGCAGGGGGGGGGACATTGCGGCGAAGGACGGGAAGGAAGAGGCAGAGGAGTATTAAGACGGTGTGGGGGATGCCGAAGAGTTCAACATGTCGAACCTTAACTGGATCGAATCGCAAACTCTAGAGCAGGGACCGACCGCCCTGGCATTCTTACAGGCCTACCACGACATGCTCTTAGAGCCCAGCATGTTCTGAGAACAAGAACAAACTCTTTAGAGCATGAAGCCGATCTGTGAACCCAAGACGGTCTCAACCAGAAAGACTCAAACACATATTTCGCGCAGACCACAGAGATTTCTGAGAACATCCTGTGGTGGGCCTATAGGCGAGCCATGACGCTTCGCCACTGCTCGGGCGTTGGCAGAACTGGGTTTAGTGGAACCTGGTTTAATGATCTGTACTAGGGGCGCCCCCCCGTCCCATGTCCACCAACTGGAACTGCCGTCACCCGAAACAACACCAGCTATGGCAAGTCTGGTTTAGTGATTCTGGCCAATTCAAAGGCTCTGGGGCCCTACCACTAACCGGGTCCCCTTACCCAGGGTCCTGGCCATACCCGAAAGACGCTTCGCCACTGCGTGAAACCCGGATCGGATCGGAACCAGATCAGTCCGCACCCGAGCCGGCGCGGCATCGGATCGGGATCGGATCGGTTGGGGATCGCGGATCGGGCTCGGCCTGTGGAGGCCAGCCGGGGCTCGGCTCGCGTCGGAGCGGATCGCAAAGGGAGTCGAGGCTTGAGACGGAGTCGGATCGGACGATGAGCAGCCAAGGAGGGCGGGGGGTGACGAGCACAGTACAGGGCAGTTTTTAATACATGGGAGTTTTAAGCATATAGGTTTTTCATACATGATTAATTTAGGAATAGATGTATGCATGAACTCGTCGTTGTTTTTAATACTAAATCCCTGCATTTTCAATACATGATCCGCACGCGGAGCATGTATAAATTATCCCGGCAAAGCAACCTAACAGCGATGTGTAGGAGCATATCTGGAAGCATTCCCCTTAAGATTCAGATGAGAATCCAGTTGAAGAATTGTGCTGTTCTCGCAGGCGTAGTCGCATTCGCGATGACAGTCGCAGTGGCAACGGCAGTCACAGACACAGCCTCAGCCTCAGCCTGCCTCAGCCTCAGCCTCAGCCTGCCTCAGCCTCAGCCTGCCTCAGCCTCAGCCTCAGCCTGCTTCAGCCTCAGCCTCAGTCTGCCTCAGCCTCAGCCTCGGCCTTCAGCCTCAGCCTCAGCCTGCAGCCTCAGCCTCAGCCTCAGCCTCAGCCTCAGCCTCAGCCTCAGCCTCAGCCTCAGCCTCATCAGCCAGCCTGCCTCAGCCTCAGCCTCAGCCTGCCTCAGCATTCAAAATGTGGCCCGGGAATGGAGTTCTGGGAACTCGAAGAACACGAAGTGGCCTACAGTTGGCTCCGGGCATTCAAAATCATGCCCGGGAATGGAGTTCTGGGAACTCGAAGACCACGAAGTGGCCTACAGTTGGCTCCGGGCATTCAAAATGTGGCCCGGGAATGGAGTTCTGGGAACTCGAAGACCACGAAGTGGCCTACAGTTGGCTCCGGGCATTCAAAATGTGGCCCGGGAATGGAGTTCTGGGAACTCGAAGACCACGAAGTGGCCTACAGTTGGCTCCGGGCATTCAAAATGTGGCCCGGGAATGGAGTTCTGGGAACTCGAAGAGCACGAAGTGGCCTACAGTTGGCTCCGGGCATTCAGAATGTGGCCCGGGAATGGAGTTCTGGGAGGTCGAAGAGCACGAAGTGTGTGACTGTTGGCTTAAAACGACTTCTGCGGCACCCTGTCCGGCACCCGCCCAGACCCCCCTGTGGAGTCATCTGCTGCTCTCTTTTGACCCTACTAGAAACCTATCAGAACAAGCTGTTAGGTAAAAACGGCTGTAGGGGCCCGTCCACAAGAAACCTTCCACAAGAAACCCGACCCTGAGACCCCAGGGCGTCCATTGGTTGTTGGTGTGGGAGCGTCACGCTTTCCGTCACAAAACCATCGAAGCCCAGGAAACCCGGGGCACCCTGGAGGCAAGCAGGGCGTGTCTTGGCATGGGCCCCCCACTGTAGAGTGTGTGTGTGTGTGTGTGCTGCGTGGCGAAGACCATGCGGGCAGGATGGTGCGAGCCGTGTCGCTGCCGAGCTCTGCAGCGCAGGCCGTGCCGGTGCCGAGCTGTGCTGCGCAAGCCGTGTGGCGCCCACGAGGCGCCCGCGGGCGGGCACCAGGGCGAAACCTCGGCGTTAACCCCCCCTGGCGCTGGGCGCCCACGAGGCGCCCACGAGGCGCGGATCGGGCGAACCCTCGGCGTTAACCCCCCCGGAGTGCGGGGCGCCCGCGAGGCGCCCACGGGCGGGCACCACGCGGGAGGAAGAAACCCGAAGAGTGCGAGCACGCCGCGAGGGAGAGGCGCAGCGGCACAGAACTTCTGGAGGCCAGGAGGATTTCTCTCGGCTCGGCCTCGCCCCCCCCCTCTGGCGGCGCCTCGGGCACCGCCCCTGGCGCGCTCCGCGCGCCGAGACGGGGGGGCCAACGCAACGCCAATCCCAAGGCATTCGCGCGGGCCTCTGCCGCTGCTACCCGTTCCTTCGGTCAAAGTGCACAGAAACTCGAGGCGCATCCCGCGGCGATCGGCGCGCCCGCAGAGGCCGGCCAATGCCCACGAACGATGAGCAACCGCGATGCTCGACGGACGCCGAGGACGCCGACGACGACGACGTCGACGACGGCGACGTTGACGACGACGACGATGTCAACGCCGACGAGCGCGAGCATGGCCAAAACCGGTTAAAATGAAAAGCCGGCAATACAGTAGGGGCTTGACCGCAAGAAGCCTTCCGCAAGAAACCCAACCCTGAGACCCCAGGGCGTCCATCGATTGCTGGCGCGGGAGCGTCGCGCTTTTCCATGGCACAGCCATCGACACCCAAGAAGCCCAGGCAACCCTGGAGGCAAGCAGGGTGTACAGTGAAAACGTATAGTAAGGACGCGTGGTAAGGACGCAAGACCCTTGGAGGCCGAAGTTGAAGTATTCTGGGCGGCAGGCGGCCGAACCCCCAGGGAACCTGAGAAACTGGCCTGCGAAAATTGCTAGGGACGGGCCGCAGAGGCTGAGGCAGGCAAGGACCCAAGGGCACCCTTGAAAAATGCGCTTTGACTGTATCTTGGCACGGGCCTCCGCTGCACGGACCCTGGGCGAGAGCGGCCTCGCGTCTTCGTGGGGCCGAAGGCCGCGCGGAGTCCAGGGCCGACCGCGCACGCCGGTGCCATGGGGGACCCCCGCAGCCCCTCGTCCAAAGGTCACGACGTCGACGACGACGAAGACGTTATGACGTCGACTTGACGTCGACGACGACGACCACGCCGTCGACGACGACGTCAGCGACGACGGCGACAACGACGACGAAGACGCCGACGGCGGCGGCGGCGGCGACGACGACGACGAGCGCGAGCACCGTCGGGGGCCGACGGGGCCGAGGCGGCGGCCAGCCCGGCGCTCCGCTGCAGCGCGCCGCAGTCCGCGAGGGGCCCCGGCGACCCGGGCAGTGCGCACGGCCACCTGCGACGACGCCGCCGACGCCGCGGACGCCGCCGCCGCCGCCGCCGACGCACGGCGCCGAGGCCATCTTGGGCCGTCTTCGGTGCATCTTGGGCCGTCTTTCGAGGATGAACAGACCTCCCTTTAGTAAAACGTGGCTTAGTGAAAACGACCTCGGGCCCAAACCTGGCGGGCGCAAGCCTGGAAAATGACGGCCGCGGCGCCCTCTCGAGAACCGAAAACGGACAATTCACTAATCGACGTGTCAGGGTAGGAGGTCTGTCCACCCCCGAGTCTTGGACGCATCTTGGGGCCATCTCAGCCGTCTTGGAGGCCACCTCGGGCCATCTTGGAGCCGCCTGGAACGGGCAAAGCCCTTGGCAACAGGATCTGGCGATGGCGAGGACTCCGGGGCGACGCCGCCGACGCGGGCGCGGGCGCCGTGAACTCCACCCAGGACGACGACGCCAGCGACGAGAACGACGCCGACCCCGAGGACGACGCAGGCAGTGGCGACGCCGTCGGTGGATGCCGCCGGCGACGACCTCGGCGACGAGGAAGGGGATGCGTCGGAGGGTGAAGAGGAAGGATGGAGAAGCCGCGGGAGTGCGAGTGGGACTGGAGGGCCGCGGAAGGAGGGAGAAGCCGCGGGAGGGCGGGGAAGAGGAGTGCGAGTGGGACTGGAGGGGGAGTGGGGCACGACCCTGGGCGTTCTAGAGTATACCGAGCTTTCCGTGGTGGGGGTAAGGAGCGAGAGAGAGAGGGAGAGAGAGAGAGAGGGAGAGAGAGAGAGAGAGAGAGAAAAAAAGATAACAAAAACAAGAAAGAGAGAGAGAGGGAGAGAGGGAGAGACAGAGGGGAGACGGATGAGGAAGCATGTGGAATCGGCGTGGACTGAGGAATGATGAGACCTTGGAAAGTTGCGCATACTCGTGAAGGCGATCCGACTGTAGGCTGACGACGAGCGCGAGCACGGCAAGGGGCCGACGGGGGCGACTGACGGGGCCGAGGCGGCTGCTAGCGACGAGTGGATCTTTAACATAACGATTGGCCTTCATGGCTGTGAGAGCTGTGCGGACTTTTCCCCCCTCTCGCTCCTGGCTCTGCCTTGCTCCCCCCCCGGCGGCGGCATCACCGCCGACAACGACGACGCCGTAAACGAGGAAAGCACCCGGTGTGAAACCAGGGCCCCGCAAGCGGGGGCTCCGATGAACCCGGACGTTGGCGCACCAATTGGAAGACTGCAGCCGTGGCTCGAGACGCTCGAGACGACCCAGACACCCAGGATACTGCAAACCAGGAGTTTGCGTTAAGTCGGGCGTGTCCCCCTACATGGGGATTTTGGCCGAAAAATAAGAAGTTCTCAAAGAATACTGCCAACAAATACTCAAAAAATGATCCCCGGATTATTTTTTGACAATTTTTGTCAATATCCCCCCTGTCGAGGGACACGCCCGACTTCAGCAAAGTCCCTGGTTTGGCAGTGTCCTAGCTGCTGGCTGGCGGCGCTGGCGAGCCCCCTTCGCGGTGAGCCCTGCCTCCTGGGCGGGTGTCGGCACGGGGGGTCCTTCGGCGCGCTGCCGCGTGCTGCGCGGTGCTCGCCGCGCGCTGCTCGTCCTCCTCCTCCTCCTCCTCCTCCTCCTCCTTCTCCTCCTCGTTCTCCTCCTCCTGGCGTCTAGGGTCAGGATCCCCCTCCTCCTCCTCCTCCTCCTCCTCCTCCTCCTCCTTTTCCTCGTTCTCCTTGTCCTGGCGTCTAGGGTCAGGATCCTCCTCCTCCTCCTCCTCCTCCTCCTCCTCCTCCTCGTTCTCCTTGTCCTGGCGTCTAGGCTCCTCCTCCTTCTCCTCCTCCTCCTCGTCCTCCTCCTCCTCGTCCTCCTCCTCCTCCTTTTCCTCCTCCTCCTGCTCGTCTTCCTCCTCCTCCTCGTCCTCCTCCTCCTGCTCGTCGTCGTCCTCCTCCTCCCTCCTCGTTCTCCTTGTCCTGGCGTCTCGGGTCAGGATCCTCCTCCTCGTCTTCCTCCTCCTCCTCCTCCTCGTCCTCCTCCTCCTCGTCCTCCTCCTCCTCCTCCTCCTCCTCCTCGTGCTCCCCCTCCTCCTCTCTCCTCCTCCTCCTCCTCCTCCTCCTCCTCCTCCTCTCTTCCTCCTCCTCCTCCTCCTCCTCCTCCTCCTCCTCCTCCCCATCCTCCTCCTCCTCGTCTTCCTCCTCCTCTTCCTCCTCCTCCTCCTCCTCCTCGTCCTCCTCCTCCTGCTCGTCGTCGTCGTCCTCCTCCTCCCAGCGCCTGGAGGGCCCACGCGCGCCGGGGCCCAGCGAGGGGCGCTCCTTCAGCGGGGGCGCAAGGCAAGGTGGGGCAGGCAGGGGAGGAGGAGGAGGAGGAGGACGAGGAGGAGGAGGAGGAGGAGGAGGAGGAGGAGGAAGAGGAGGAGGAGGAGGATGAGGAGGAGGAGGGCATTGAGGGGACGAACGACCACGACGGAAATGTCGGGTTCCGCGGCCTGGGGGGGGGGAGGCCACGGGGGCCAAGGGCGGGGCAGAGGTGGGGTCAGAGGAGACTCGCTCTAAACCGCCTCTGGAAGAAGGGCTTGAGAGCATCCAGCCGGCTTCCCCCATTGCGTACCCCCGATTTTTGAGCGGGGAGGAACTGGAGGCTCTCTTTGGGGCGCCTCGAAAGCGTCTTCGAGTAAATCGTGCGCGTCTTGGGCCAATCGTTCGGCGATTCGGCATCGTCTTGGGAAGTCCTTGAGCGAAGGGCAAGACGGAGGCGGGATGAGGCTGCGAAAATTTGGATGGATATCGTTCCCTGATACACTTGTCGGTAAGGGTCCCACTACGTAATGTTATGAAGGCCGGGTGTGAGCCCTTCCAGATCCCGAGTCGGTGGCTTGTGGACTCCTGGATGGTCTCCCGTCGGGTCTCCCGTACATGCAGCATGCGGCCTGACCAAAAGAACGATAAAAAAGGAACGAAGCTCCTTTTTGTTCCAAGTCGGTCTAGGAATTCCGAAGGAACACCAGAAGGGGCGCGCCGCCAAGAAGGTAGCGGAACGCATGCAAACCAAATGAACGACCGAACCCCTTTTGAAAAGTAGGTGTTCCTTATTCAAGACGGACCCTGTATACAATACAACATCATGATCGCTTTCCTATGTTATCATGCTGCTAAAAAACTTCTGCCCTGGATTGTGCCTGACTTGTCGAGGCGCCGGAACGGGAACCACTGCTGACTTGCCGTCGGCTTTGCTTCAGTGCTGACGTGCTCGCCTCTTCGATCTTCGGCGTGCCCGAGACTGCCCAAGAGGCACAACACATCGCCCCAAGACGGCCCAAAAGGCCCCAAAGAGGGCCCCCGAACAGAGGAAGAGGGCAGCAGTAGTCAAGAGGCTGACAGGACTTCCCCATGAGGGCCCCCGGAGCAGCCCAAGAGAGGGGAGCCCGAAAGGGCCCCAGCAGCCCTCCCCCGCAAGAGGGCCGCCAGGACCCGCGGCATGCCCCGGAAAGCGCCCCAACAAGCCCCCAACAAGATTTTTTTTTGTCCGGCGGGCGCTGACCGAGCGAGCGGGCGCCGACGCGCCGTGCCCAAGACAGGCCACCTGCACCGAATTAGCGGGGGGAGGGGAGGGCCCCCACGACCCCGGCCAGCACAGGGGAGTGCGCGGCAGCGGGATGGTGGGGGGGCGTTGCCTCCGCGAATGTCATTGGCAACGCTCACCTCAGACCAGGAGGTGCCAGGCCCCCAAAGAGGCCCCCAAGAGTTATGGTGTTCCCACTCGTGCTTAAGGACAACATCTCAGAAAACTCTCGAGCACCCACAAAAGTGTCGAAACAGTGTCGAAAGAGCATGGCCTCCCAGGGCACGACACGTGAACAGCCTCCATGTTCGGTACTTTTTTGATGCTCGAAATTCTTTCTGGCGGTCAAGGCTAAAGTAGGTTGAAACATCATAACCCAAGAGGCCCCAAAACGACCCAACAGGAACCGTTGTGAGCCGCGGTTTTGGAATTGTCCAGGCGGAAGCACGGCGCCAAGACGCTTCTACGACAAGCGCCCCTGGGAAGAGAGGCGCTCATGGCATCCAAAATGTCGGCGGTGCGACGCAAACCAATGAATCATTGGTTTTGCTTTGGTGCCTGTATGATTCCGGCGTTCTCGCCGTCTAGGGCAGCTCAATCAAACCGAAGCCGAAGAGGGCCCCAAGACGGTCACAGAAGGCCCCAAGAGGACCCCTGTACGGCCTCCGAAAAGCCCCAGCACAGCCCAAGAGAACTCCAAAGCGGCTCTACAGCGCAAAGAGAGGGCCCCGAGACCCAATACGGCCTCCGGCGGCGTCAGCCAAAAGCAGCGTGAGACGGCCTAAGGAGGGCCCGAGGCCCCCAAGACGCCCCGAAGAGAAACCCAGGAAGCCCTAAGAGACCACCGAGAGGCCTCCTTCTCCTCCTTCCTCTTCCTCTCATCCTTCTCGCCCTCTTCCTCCCGCTGACGGCCCCGCGACGTGTCAGCATGCCACGTGCGTGGGCCAGTTTTTCCCGGAGCGAGGTCTGCCGCGGCTCCCGCGCTGCGGGCTCAAAATGGCGGACCGCCCCCCAGCGTACGAGCGGAGCGGGCGCCGGGTGGCCTTGGCCGTGCAGCCTGGAGCAGGGATCGACCTAAGCAGTTGCTTGTTCCTTTTCATGTTGTTGTCGTTTTCCCTCGGCGTGTCTTCGATCCACCTTTGCTGCAGAACGAAACCCAGACAACAACGGCCCACGAGATGGCCCAAACACCGGTTCGGTCGACCCCTGGCCTGGAAGGCTGGAAGGGGGCAGGGAGGGAAGGGGGACCGAGTCAGCTCACCATAGCTCCTGGAGTCTCAGGAGAACCTCCAGACGGCCCCAGATAGCCTCCCGACGGCTGGAGAGACCAGGCATAAGGCCCAAGAGGGCTCCAGCCACCCCCTCCACGAGCCCCCCCCCCCCCCCCACACGAAGCAAGCATAATTGAGTTTCGTGTTGCCTTGGGGACTGGAGTTCTCGCTGTTCGGGCTTCGGAGAGCCCAAGACGGCCCACGAGGCCTCCGAGATGACCCCCAGGACGGCCCAGAGAGGCTCCCCAGAGAGCGCCCAGGCAGCCGAAGAGGGCTCCAAGATGTTCCAAGATGCCCCCCAGGACGGCCCCCAAATTGCCTCACCTCAGCCCAAGAGACCTCCAAGATGGCCGCACAACGTCCAAAGAGGACCCCAAGACAGCCCAAGAGGACTCTCAGATCCAACACTGCCTTCGAAGGCGTCAGATGTGCTAAGAAGGCCCGACGAGGCCTTCAAGAGTCCCCAAACAAGCCGCAAACGGGCCCAAGGAGGCCCACAAGAAGCCCAAGAGGACCCCAAGAGGGCCCGAAGAGACCATCAAGATTTTTCCCTACCTAGGCTCTGCCTAGAAGGGTTCTTACTCTCTTAGCGTAAAGGGGCCGGGCAGTGCAAAGCGCCCCGGGCGGTTCCCCCAGTCCCCTGGGAGCGGTTCCCCCCAGTCCCCTGGGAGCTTTAGCTTTAGCTTTAGCTTAGCTTTAGCTTAGCTGTAGCTTAGCTTTAGCTTAGCGTTTCGCTTAGCTTTAGCTTAGCTTGAACTTAGCTGTAGCTTAGCTGTAGCTCAGCTTTAGCTTAGCTTTAGCTTATCTTTAGCTTAGCTGTAGCTTAGCTTTAGCTTAGCTGTTGCTCAGCTTTAGCTTAGCTTTAGCTTAGCTTTAGCTTAGCTGTGGCTTAGCGTTAGCTTAGCTTTAGCTTAGCGTTACTGTTACTACTAATGCTGCTTTCCTAGGGGTTCCAACTCCTAGGTAGGGTCGCACTGGGATGATTTATTTTCTGTGCCGCTCGTGTCCAATCTTACCTACCTCGTATAGTTTAGTTATCCCCCTTTCGGCCCCACGATGTCCCACGACATGCCCAATTGCCACATGTGCTGACTGCTGTCGTTTCCAATAGTGGCCCAAGCTTCTCATCATGCCTTATTTGTCATATGTGGGCGATGTGGGGACCGCCGTGGCATCAGCCCTGCGGGATCAAGGACACGGGGCCTGGAGAGAAGCGGGTCATGGACCCCGCGGGGCGTTTCCCCTTGACCAGCTTCTGACATGTTCGGGGCCGAAGGAGGGCCCGAGGAGGCCAACAACAGCGACAAGTACATTTACTTGTCCCTTTCTCTCAGGATTTCAATCCGCGGCCCAGAGTCCCGACCTTGTCCCCAGGGGAAGTTTGGATCGTACCGTGACAAGTTTTTGATAGCCCTGGGTCTCTCAGGAAGGCCACTGGATGCTCAGGGGCGCCGAAGAGGCGGGCCATGAAGCGGGGGTCAGCGCACCATGCCCCGAGGCATGTGCGCGGACCAGGGGGAGCCGGGGGACGTATTGAGCTAAGGGGTGGCCATGACTTCTGGGAGACGTCATGGCACTGGTCATGTGAGCCGAAGCCAGGACGAGGATAACCTCGGGCGAAGATACACAGCGAGAGTTTCGGAGAGCCGGCGGATCTGGAGGACGTCTCGGGCGCCGCGGCCTTCTCAGAGCGCTCCGGAGCGCAATGAGAACGCACGCTGTGCGAGCGTTCTGGAATGCCCTAGAACGGATAAATGGTCGAGGGTTTGGGCCCCCCCCCATGCTAATGCCATCGGGCCCCCCCCCCACCGCGCGATGGTCCCCCCCCCTCCCCCTGTGGATGTGGTGTGGGTGTGGTGTGTTGCTGTGGGTGTGTGTGGGTGACCCAATGTCCTACCCCCCCTCCCTCCCTGTGGGTGTGGTGTGGGAGTGCGTGTGGCTGTGATTGTGGCGTCATGCTGACGTGCTTTCGGGAAGCTCCGGTGCTCGACGTCGTCGCCGCCGCCGCCGCCAGTGCCGTCGACGTCGTCGTCGTCGTCGTCGTCGTCGTCGTCGTCGTCGTCGTCCGTCGTCGCCGTCGTCGTCCGTCGTCGTCGTCCGCCGTCGTCCGTCGTCCGTCGTCGTCGTCGTCCTCCTCCTCCTCCTCCTCCTCCGCCTCCTCCGCCTCCGCCTCCGCCTCCTCCTCCTCCTCCTCCTCCTCCTCCTCCTCCTCCTCCTCCTCCTCCTCCTCCACCCATCCCATTTGGGGGGGGGGCCCGAGGACCCTGGGACCCATCCCATCTGGGGGGGGGGGCCGTGGGCCCGGAGCCCGCGATCATATATGGTCCAGGGCTTGGGCCCCCCCCCCCAATGCTGATGCCATTGGGCCCCCCCCCCCCCGCGCGATGGTCCCCCCCGCCCCCCCCTGTGGGCGTGGCGTGGTGCTGCGCTGCGGTGCCCCCCCCCCCCTGTGGATGTGGTGTGGTGCTGTGGTGGTTCAGAGGTCGTCGTCGTCGTCGTCGTCGTCGTCGTCGTCGTCGTCGTCGTCCTCGTCGTCGTCGTCGTCGTCGTCGTCATCGTCGTCGTCGCTGTCGTCGTCGTCGTCGCCGCCGCAGCCGTCGTCGTCGTCGTGGTCGTCGTCGTCGTCGTCGTCGCCGTCGTCGTAGTCGTCGCCGTCGTCGTCGTCGTCGTCGCCGTCGTCGTCGTCGTCGTCGTCATCGTCGCCGCCGCCGTCGTCGTCGTCGTCGTCGTCGTCGTCGTCGTCGTCGTCGTCGTCTCTGGGACCATACCATCTGGGGGGGAGGGGGCCCGAAGAATCCTGGGACCATACCATCTGGTGGGGGGGGGGGGACCCCTGAACCCTCGACCCTGGATCATATATCCTCGTCCTAGCCCCGTCCGAAGACGCCCCTACAGTCCGCACCCTTCGCTTCGACCCTTCCGAGAAGCCGAACTGACGGAACAACGCCGCTGACTGAAACATCATCCGCTGGATGCTTGGGCCTGCTACGTGGCGACTCTCCAAGGAGAGCGCGAAACCAACACAGCGAACCGCGCGGATCTTGTGGATCGCCGCTGGACAGGAGCGCACCCGGGACGGCGCCGGAGGCGCCGCCGGGGGTTGTCCAGCGCCGACCCACGAAAGCGGCGCGGACCTCCGAGAAACACCGTCGGGGTTGCTCGGAGAGGACACTCGGAGAGGACACGAAGAGTCCATCCGAGGACCCCACGAGGGCACGAAGACACAGGAGCGCAAGAGGGCGTGGGCCGCAAAACGCAGAACACAAGGGTAGCCTTGCTTTGGCAGGGTCGACCTACGAATCAGACTCGACTGTACGCAGTCGGCCACACGTAACAGTGACCCCAAGCAAGATTTACCCTTGGTGCACGGCTTTCGGGGGCCGCGGGGAGGCCGAACCACAGCGCGCAAGCCGCTGCGATCGCATCGCATTCAACTATCTGGGGACCCCAATGTGCCCGCACCAAACGTCACTCCAGCGAATGGCCCCTCTTACGTGTAGCCGATAGGTAGCTTCTCGAGGCCTCCCATTGGGGTCGGAGTAGATGGGGTCCGAGGATCGCGTCACATCGTCGATGCATCATCGATGTATCGCGGATGTATCGGCGACGTCGGCGATGCATCGGCGACGTCGGCATGGTGAAAATCGGGCTCCGCATCGAGCCGCATCGCCGATACATCGGCGATGCGGCGTGATCCTCCGACCCCATCTACTCGGACCCCATCTGGGAAGCCTACACGTCGGTCGGAAGAAATAGGAACAAACATGAAGTAGGAAGCCGGATGAAGTAGATTTGGGTTCAGGCCCTCCGACCAAAAACATGCCGAGTCTTGGAGTAGGCAAGCGCTTGAAGTAGATTGGGACCTGGGAGCCCCAACGCACCTACTTTCAACAACTGGCGTATAGAGCTTTGTTGTCCGAGTATATGGAGTCGGAGGATCTCGCCGCATGGCCGATGCATCGGCAATGCCATCGCCGATGCATCGGCCATGCACTGGCGACGTCGGCGATGCATAGGCAATCTCGGCGTGGAGAAGATTGGGCCCCGCATCGAGCCGCATAGCTAATGCATCGCCGATGCATCGGCGATGCGGCGCGATCCTCTGACCCCATCTAGGAGGCCTACACGTCGGTCAGAAGAAGTAGGATCAAACATGTCGTAGGAAGGCGGACACAGCAGATTTGGCTTCAGGCCCTCACAGAGAATAACCATTACAGCAAACGCATGCAGCGTCTTGGAGTAGGCAGGCGCTTGAAATAGATTGGGACCTGGGAGCCTAAAAACACCTACTTTGAACGACCGGCGTGAACAGGATGGGCCCGACCACAAGAAACCTTCTACAAAAAAACCCAACCCCGAGACCCCAGGACGTCCATTGATTCTGGGTGTGGTAACGTTGCGCTTTGCGTGGCAAAACCATCGCAGCCCAAGAAACCTACGGCACTCTGGAGGCTTGGGTCTCCACTGTCCTTCGTTCGTTTCCTTCGTTTCGTCCTTCGTTTCCTTCGTTTTGTCCTTCGTTTCGTCGCGACGCCCGGGCTCCGCCACTCCCATGCAGAGGTCGAGGTCGCCCGACGGGGGCGCCGCCCGCCCCGGCGGCGCGCAGGCGGCGGCCTCCGCGGCGGCGACGATGATGACGACGACGACGAGGACGACGAGGACGAGGCGGCCCAAACTCGGGGGGGACGAAAGGGTGCAGTAGGGGATCGACCACAAGAGACCCTGTACAAGAAACCCAACCCTGAGACCCCAGCACGTCCATTGGTGTGGGAACGTCGTTCTTTCCACGGCAAAACCATCGAAACCCAAGAATTCCACGGCACCCTGGAGGCAAGCAAGGTGTCTCATTCGGGGCAATCTGATCTGATGCTTTTTCCAAACCCGTTCGGAAAAGCATTGGCAACGAGTGACAAATCCAGGGCCACATGCAAACTCCCCCTCCCCCTCCCCCTCCCCCTCCCCCTCCTCCTCCTCCTCCTCCTCCTCCTCCTCCTACTCCTCCATTTCATTCTCTCTCATTCGGGGCAATCTGATTTGATGTTCTTCTAAACCCGTTCGGAAAAGCATTGGCAACATGGCGATGCAGGAGCCCCTCCCCGATACCATAACCGTGGCAGGTCAACATTTGCCGAAGAGGATCCCAATAAGACCCCCATAGAGCCAAAGCGGCGCCAGGCCGACCTGTTCAACCTACCTTTTGACGACTCATACAAACGAATGTTCCCGCCCTCCCCGCACCCCCGGAAGGCACCCAAGGCGGCTGTCGCACTGCGTGTTTCTACTGAGGGGCAACGATCGGGGGGGACTGACATACGGGGGGACACATCGACCTGTCATCGGTGATACATCGCCGACAGATCGACGATAGGCCCCCGAGAGCAAATCCGCGCGTTCCTGGGCAGTCAGGGGCTCCCGGGCCCCTATCGGCCATCCATGGGCGATTGGGGGTCGGTGCATCCCCCCCCGCGCCTGTCCCCCCCCCTTCTCGCTGCCCCCCGGATCTACGCTGCTCTCATCAGGGCAACTCGCCTGGCGATCGTGCCTGGATGGGCCGGCGGGGACACTTCTTTTTTTTTTACAGCCGCAGGCGGAAGCGCCGGCGGCGAGCAGTCACGGTCGGGCTGCGGCCGCGACTAAATTCCCGGGCGCGCGCGGGGGCCGCGGATCAGGCGGCGGGGGCGGGCGACAACCCAGGGCGTCTGAGAAGCCAGGCGGTCGTGCAATCCCAGGGAGTCTGAAAGGTCAGCCACCTGAGAGGTCGTGCAAGCTGCGACCCAGGGAGTCTGTGAGGACAACCCTCAGGGCGAGCCAGGCGCAGCCAAAATGGCGCGCAGTACGTCCCGGGGCGCGATCGTGTCGAGACAACCGCATGGCAGGGGACGGTCTCCGTGCGAGAAAGTCAACCCAGGGAGTCTGACGGGTATGAGCAGACAGAAACTGGTGACGTCGTCCAGCAGGAGATGGATTCTGACAGCGCCAGCGAACCATCGCAGCATCAGAAAGCGCATCCTCGCAAGGGGAAGCCAAAGACTGAGCAGTCAAAGCCAGCCCGACCGCTGCTGAGCGATGCGCCTGCGTACAGAGGACCAGCGGTCAACTCAGTACGCAGCGCGGTGCAGGATAGCCACTCTGCGAGAACGCGGGGTCGTTCGAGAGTGAGCGTGCACCGAACAACTATGTGACATAACGCCGATCGGCAGACCCAACCATGAGGGGGCGCTCGGAAGGACAACGACCGTCGAATACCCACGACAGCAAGTCCCTCACAGTCACAGAGTCCCAGGGAGGACCGCGCACGTACATGCGCGGGAGAGCAACGAGGAAGGGCCAGACCGTCGTACTCCGAAACCGTGCCGCAGCCAGGGTAGTGGCGGCGGGGACACGCGAAGCGTCAAGAAGTTCCCGCCCGTGACCGGGTGGGACCTGGCTTGACGAACGAGCAACCTATACACCCATACCCATAGGGGGGTCGTTGGGAGGAGGACTAGCTATGGGTATGGGTGCGGGTTGTCGGACCCTGGGGAACGCTCCCGTTCGAGCGGACTCCTCTGTGGGTATGGGTGTGTGTTGTTGGTTCGTCATGGCTCACAGCCAGGCGCACCCCGTCCACCCAGGGATCGGCCCGTTCCCGCCCGGCGCCACGCGGGGAGTGGCTCAGAGGAGCGGGGGCGCCTGGTGTAGCAATCCTCCCAGGATACTCGGCTTCCGACTTGGGGCCAGGTGGGGGGAAGTGAACGTTTTCATCTTCGGCGTCTCGACATGGGCTGAATGGGCGGGGGGGGTCTGGCTCTGGGCCTCTGCGTAATGCGACTGTCTGCAACCAGCGCGTCCTGTGCGGGAGACTCCGCCTGCTCGAGACAGGCGCCACAGGCAGCCGAGACCTGCTCCATGGGGGAAGGGGGGAGGAGGAGGGGGGGCTGCGAGGGCCCGCGCCGATCGGCAAGACAGTGAATCAGCAAACGATCGCGAAGAGGGGCCGCCAGGGAAAGGGGGGGGACCTTTCACCACAGGACTCCCCGCTGCGTGCCTGGGGCCAGGTGGGGAATGGCTCACGGGAGGAGGAGGAGGAGGAGGAGGAGGAGGAGGAGGAGGAGGAGGAGGAGGAGGAGGAGGAGGAGGAGGAGGAGGAGGAGGAGGAGGGGGGACGACCAGTCCACCCTGGGATTGGCCGCTCTCCGCTCGGGGCCAGGTGGCAGGGAGGGCACCAGCGCGGAGGGTGGCGGCGCCGCCCGCGTGGGAGTGCGATGCCTCGTCAACACAGCCTTCGAAAGCGCTTGGCGCCCCTCCCCCGCCAAAAGAGCGCAGCGTCCCTCAAACCGTGCTCACACGACGCGCCCCTGTTCTTCCTGCTCATCGCCGTCTCTCTCTCTCTCTCTCTCTCCTCGTCGGCCCCAGCATCTTCCTCGCTCATCCACGAGACCTCCCAAGCTCCCAGTAGCTTTACGCTTTACTCCAGAAACCCCAAGGGGCCATATGAAACCTCGCTACTGGATGCGCAATGAGATCTGGGCTTCGCACAATGCGTTGCGTTTTGCGCCAGGACGTTAGAACTGAGAGTTCGAGGATCGAGTTGTTTGTTAGTTAGTCCTTCTTGTGCTGAACTGAACGGCGCTCCTCCTCGATGCGGCCGAATCCCCTCTGTGAAAGCTTGATAAGAACGCATGCCAGGCCAAGAGTGGTCGGGGCGTCGATCTCCCAGAGAGGATCCAGACATACCCAGACCTCTCTGCGTGGGGAAAGGCTGACCACATCAAGCTTTTAGCAATGTTCAGTCCCTGGATAACGAACGAACACCACACACACCCATACCCATAGGAGGGTCGGAGGGAGAAGGCCTGGCTATGGTATGGGTGCGGGTTGTCGTACCCCGAGGGAGGCCGTCCAGAAAGCAGCTCGGGGTGAAATGGGAGTCACAAAGACCCACTAGTACTATATGTTCTCCTCGGAGGAGCGCTTCCGACCCGAACATATAGTATACCCATCTTGTAGTACATCGTTTCCCGAGCGGTGTGGCCAGAAAGCGCCAGCCGGGGGGGCTCGGTGCGCGCGTCGCCCCCAGGGGGGCGACGCACATAATATAGTATAAGTATGTTAGGGTGACGCCGCTGAAAAGCTGATTCCAGGGGAGGTGTCGAGGCCTCGGGGGGTCAGCTCGTGGGTCAAGGGCGACGATGGGGGCAGAACAACCCAGGGGAGAGCAATACGTGTATCCAGGAGCGCCGATGGTCCGTGCCTTCGGCGAGGCTCCTGAGCGAATACGTGTAACGCCCGCCCCTGGGCTACACACCCGTATCGTCGCCCCCGAGAGGGCGGGAGGACCATCCACATCCCCGGCGGAGGCCCCGCGCGGAACGTATGTTCGCAGGAGCGCGCGCTCGTGGGCTCGCGCCTCGGTGTCCAGACCGCGAGGGCACGGATAGGAGTACAGCACGGGCCTGGCCACGAGAAGGCCTTCCACAAGAAGCCCAGTCCTGGGACCCCAGGACGTCCATTGATTTCTGGTGTGGGGACGTCACGCCTTCCACAGCAAAGCCATCGAAACCCCAGAAGCCCAGGGCATCCTGGAGGCAAGCAGGGTGTTTCTTTGCATGGGCCTCCACTGTATGCAAAGGGGGATTGGGGAAACGACGTTGGGGTAACGACGCGCTGGCGATGGCGACCAAGCCGGGGAGACGACGACCAAGACAGTCGCTGCACCGTGCAGCGACGGCCAGGACGGCGACGACAGCCAGGGCGAACGAGATGAAGACGACAACGACGACAACGACGGCAAGGACGACGACGAGGCCGCAGAGAGGGGATGCAAGGGAAGCCGCAGAGACGCTGAAACTTCAAACCCGCTTGGGTCAAATGGAAACGGGAGAGGCAAGAGGGACCTGTTTATCATGTTCAACGGCTTTCAGAAGTTTCCTGAAGCATTAGGTGGAGAACCAGGAACAGGAGTGACATGTAAGAGATTTGGTGGTTCCCAGACGATTCCCCAAACGTGCGAGCACTTGCCAACAATCTTTCGACCTCTTGCAGCTGTCGCAATGTTTGAGAGAACGTCTTCGATGGGCGCCGTACTCCACCAAATCCAGCCTTCCCTCCAAGGAAAGGCACCCACCCTGGAAACTACCCACGCCGACGGCGGCGACAGGGAAGACGCCGACGACGGCGGCTGGCGCCGACGGTCAAGACGCCGCCGACGTCGGCGTCGTCGACGGCGGCCGGCGGCGACGGCGAAGACGGCGACGGCGGCGGCGACGGAGACCCCGACGGCGCCTGGCTGGCGCCAGTCTGCCAGGGCAGCTCGTCGGCCTGGCTCGCGCTACGTCGCCGTCGCCGTCGGCGACTTCGCCGCCGCCGTCTTTGTCGTCGTCGTCGCCGCCGCCGCCGCCGCCGCCGACGCCGCCGTCGTCGTCGTCGTCGTCGTCGTCGTCGTCGTCGTCGTCGTCGTCGTCGTCGTCGTCGTCGTCGTCGTCGTCGTCGTCGTCGTCGTCGTCGTCGTCGTCGTTGCCGCCGCCGCCGCCGCCGCAATTGTCGTAACCGCCGCCGTCGCCGCCGCGGTCACGGTCACCGTCGCTGACCGCTTGCCGCCTCTTGAGGGGTGCCCTCGTGGACGCGGGCCGGCGGGCAGCTCGCACCGCTGGCCAGGCGGCGCCTCAGACCCCCAGAGGGGTCGGGGGGCCAGTCTCGAGCGGGGACTGCTCGGGGCCGACTCTGAGCGGCCCGCCGCCGCCGGGCTTCCGTCTCCTCTTGTTGTGCTCCGCCGAATTCGCCTCACGCCCGCCCCCTTCCTCCTCCTCCTCCTCCCTCCTCCTCCTCCTCCTCCTCCTCCTCCTCCTCCTCCTCCTCCTCCTCTCCTCCTCCTCCTCCTCCTCCTCCTCCTCCTCCTCCTCCTCCTCCTCCTCCTCCTCCTCCTCCTCCTCCTCTCCTCCTCCTCCTCCTCCCTCCCTCCCCCTCCTCCTCCCTCCCCCTCCCTCCCTCCCTCCCTCCTCCCTCCCTCCCCCTCCCTCCCTCCCTCCCTCCCTCCCTCCCTCTCCCTCCTCCTCCTCTCCACCTCCTCCTCCTCCTCCTCCTCCTCTTCTCCTCCTCCTCTTTCTCCTCCTCCTCTTCTCCTCCTCCTCCTCCTCCTCCTTCTCTCCTCCTCCTCCTCCTTTCCTCCTCCTCCCTCCTCCTCCTCCTCCTCCTCCCTCCTCCTCCTCCTCCTCGCCCTCCTCCTCCCCGCCCTCCTCCTTCTCCCCGCCCTCGTCCTCCTTTTCCCCCTCCTCCTCCTCCTCCTCCTCCTCCTCCTCCTCCTCCTCCTCCCGCCTCCTCCTCCTCCCTCCTCCTCGGTTCGGTGCGGTTCGGTCGAAGGCGGAGCGTCGAAGCCTAAGACTAGGAATGTGGCGAGACAGAGCGGGATGGAGACGGCGGCGACGAGGACCCCCCAGACCACGAGCCACACAGAGAGGGCAGCCCAAAGCCCACGCACCCCCCCAAGAGGGGGGGACGCAGGAGAGGAAGTGAGAAGACGAGGAGGAGGGCCCGCAGGGGGGGAGCTTGGGCAAAGGGCGCCCTGGACAACACAGAGCCCACAAGGGCCGCCCCAGAAACAGGGCCCACAAGGGCCGAGCCGCGGACCAGGACCAGGAATTCGAGCCACGACCAGCAACAGTCAGACGCGTCAAACCTGCACCGCC